AAATGCCTGGGCACTCTGTTCCCTCCTGATGCTCTGCTTTCCCACCTCTTTGAGGTGCCTTTTCTGGATGCTCCTTGGGCCCATGAGGACTCTGCTCTCTGCAGGCTTTTTCCTACATTTTGAATCTTTGCCAGGCTGTTTTCCTGTGGTTGGGCAGTTTCTAATTTGGTCCGAAAATTTGGGACCTAAAAGCCTGTACTGTACAAATATGGCAGTTTTTTCTTCCCTTTTAACCTCATCGATTTTTTTCTTGAATTTCTGCATCTAACACATGTTCTTGAATTTCTGCATCTAACACATCTAACACATTCTCAATTTATTTTCATAAGTTGAGTTGTTGGGTGCAGGTTGAAGAGAGGGGCTCTTTATATTGTTTTTCAAAATACCCAGGGGCCTGTCACCATCTTGTGAACCTGAAAAAAGCAGTTCAATGAACGGTAACAACATTGCCTCCACATCCTCTAGATTTCCTGCCTAGAAATAACTTGTCTGACTGTAACCTAAATGAGGGTATTTTTGCAAAAGCGTCGGTAGGGGGAGCTGGTGAGATCACAGTTAGGGGAGTGGAACCATCTGCCTTCTCCCTCTAGATCCCCTAGGTGTTCTGTGGAACTGCCTTTCAGTACATGAGGTCCTTGAGGGGGCTATATCTGGTACCATAGAGTGAGCATACAAGGGCTTAATAGAGGCTTTGCTGGGCGCGGGGCTCCCGTCTGTAATCCCAGTACTTTGGGAGACCAAGACGGGAGGATCACTTGAGACCGGGAGTTCAAAACCAGCCTGGGGAAAAAAGTGAGGCCCATCTTTAAAAAAAATTAACTAAAGGAATAAAAGAGGTCCCCTTTTCTGGGAGATTGATATAGGAGAGCGGGCATGTGAGTTAGAAGGGAAGCATTGAGGATCAGCCATTTAAAGCAGCCTCCAAGGATATTCACGGCTAGAGATCCACAGGTGTAGTTTTAGAAACTGAATTTCCTGGTGGCGTACAGTGCCTCACGCCTGTAATCCCAGCACTTTGGGAGGCCAAGGTGGGTGGATCACTTGAGGTGAGGAGTTCAAGACCAGCCCGGCCAGCATGGTGAAACTCTGTTTTTACAAAAAAAAAATATAAAAATTATTCGGGTGTGGTGGTGGGTGCCTTTAATCCTAAGGATTCAAGAGGCTGAGGCAGGATAAGCCCTTGAACCTGGGAGGCAGAGGTTGCAGTGAGCCAAGATCACGCTACTGCACTCCAGGCTTGGTGGCAGAGTGAGACTGTCTACACACACACACACACGCACACGCACGCGCAACGCACACACACACACACAAACCCAAAACAGGCTGGGCAGGTGGATCACCTGAGGTCGGGAATTCTAGACCAGCCTGAGCAACATGGTGAAACCCCATTTCTACTAAAAATACAAAAATTAGCTGGGGTGGTGGCGCATGCCTATAATCCCAGACTGGGGAGGCTGAGGCAGGAGAATTGCTTGAACCCAGGAGGCAGAGGATGCAGTGAGCCAAGATCGTGCCATTACACCCAGACTGGGCAATAAGAGTGAAACTCCATCTCAAGAAAAAAAAAAAAACCTAAATTTCCCTGTAGACACCTTTACTCTGGCAGCCTTTTTCAATGATGGCTATGTTTTCTTCAAGTATACTATATGGCCTACAGACCACTCAGCTTTCATTCCAGTGAGAACATTCCAGAACGAACTTTGGGTCAATCCCAAGTGCTCCTTCAATGAACTCAGAGGATGGTTGTGTGTCAGCTGCTGCCCAGCTAGAATGACACCTCTCCAGGCCTCTGACTTAACTAGGTCTTCACCATGTGACTCCACCATGGACTCCCACCTTATTCTTTTGCAAAGCCTCGGACACCCAAACAAAAGTGGGTAAAGGGCCAGGAGGGGGGTACACCCCAACTCCACAAGGACCCTTCCAGACCTCACCCTGTGTTATTCACCTGGCTGTTCATTTGTATCCTTTAATGTATCCTTGGTAATAAATCAGTAATAGTAGATAAACTGTTTTCCTGGGTTCTGTGAGCTGCTCTAGCAAATGGTCAAACCTGAGGAGGGAGTTGTGGGGACCTCCAATTTATAGCCAGTGGGTCAGATGCATAGGTGATGCCTGGCCTTGCAACTGGGATCTGATGTGGGGGTGGTCCTGTGTGACTGAGCCCTTAACCTGTGGAGGTTGATGCTCACTCTGCTTAGGGGTTCTCTGCCTTTGTAGTGTTCTGTCTAGAAGGCCTCTCCTTCCTCTTGTCAGCTCAGAAACCTTGTCTTCCACTTCCCTTCTTCTAAGCTAACCCTTACATCTACTCCTTTCCAGCTGACCGAGAGCAGAACCACACCTGGCTCCACAGCCACTATGCCGTCCCATGCTGTCTACTCAGAATGTATTCAGATGTCCGTTCCTCCCCCCCAGTCTAGGAGCCCTTTGAGAGGAATGCTGTCCTAGTCAACTCTTTCCCAGCACTAGGCACAGCATCTGGCACATTCTGTCTTTTTCAAGGACTCTTCCCAGGTGGCTGGACCTTCCCTCCTCTGAACTGCTGCATTTCTTGTCTGCATCGTGTTTACCCTAATCAGACATCACCTTATTTCGCTATCTTTTTCCAAATGCTTTATTTCTCTGGCAGGTTTGATTGGAATCAGAATTTTCATTCATTTGGTAGCTGTTGGCCTTGTGTCCACCTCTCTCTGGCACTCAGGTCTCACTTAAGAGCTGGCCCTCTGAGCCGTGGTTTGCCGTCAGTGAGATGGAGACAGGGGCAGTCCTAGGCAGTCACGCTTTGTTCCACCTGACCCTGGGCGCCCCTCCCTCTCCCAAGCGACAGGCAGGGATGGATACCAGCCTGGGAGACACAGCTCATCCACAGGCTGGCCCAGCAGAAACTCTGGGCTCAGCCAAAACTGCTCAGTTGAGGACAAACTGGGCAAAGTAGAATATTACTCTTGGGAGTTTTTAGAAATATGGTGGGGTAGCATTTGGGAATAATAAGATTTGTAGCTGGGTATGGTGGTGCATGCCTGTAGCTCCCAGCTACTCTGGAGGCTGAAGCAGGAGGATCTTTTGAGCCCAAGAGCTTGAGGCTACAGTGAGCTATGAATGTACCACTGCACTCCAGCCTGGGTGACAAATCAAGACCCTGTCTCCAAAAAACATGTACACATTTGAGATACATAAAATATATTTAAAAATTAAGCATAAAAATTATATAAATATGCCAAAATAGGAACCTGGAGATGATTGGAATCCAGACTTTGGGAGCCTAGCAGTGTAAGGATCTCTAGTCTTGGCTTTTTCTTTGAGATGGAGTCTTGCTCTGTCCCATGCTGGTGTGCACTGGTGTGATCTCGGCTCACTGCAACCTCTGCCTCCTGGGTTCAAGCAATTCTCCCTGCCTGAGCCTCCTGAGTAGCTGGGATTACAGGCACGCATCACCACCCCAGCTAATTTTTTGATTTTTTAGTAGAGATGGGGTTTCGCCATGTTGGCCAGGCTGGTCTTGAATTCCGGACCTCAGGTGGTCCACCCACCTCAGCCTCCCAAAGTGCTGGGATTACAGGCATGAGCCACCGCACCTGGCCCGAGAACAGGTGTCTTTTGTCCGGCTTCAGCAAACTCATTGGAACTGATGGGCGACTAGCTTTGCTTAGAACCCCCACCAGCACGCACGCGGGGCTGCTTCTCAGTCATACTGCTCCTGGGAGCAGTCATACTGCTGTTCTGCAGTCGGCACCATTCTTTACCTCCTATTACTGAACTGCCAGCATTCACTTGTGTTCTGTTAGGTAGATTACCAATTCTTGTTCATTCAGATTTTCTTTTGCTACTAATGTGTTTAACGTTCACTAACTTACCAAATGGGACTTATTAGTGACTTTTTCTTTGAAGATGGAGTGGAGGAATCCTTGCGCCTTCTGCAGAATTCTACTGCTGGTATGGAACAGTGCAGCTATGGATGTGCATCAGTGAGGGATTGGGAGAGGCTAGGGGAGTACATGTGAATGGAGACGTAGCCGCACCAGCATGTTTTCTGAAATATAGTCTTGCAGAGGGCAGTTTGGGAAATTACTGCTCTCACACACTCTTTTTGACCCTACCCCTCTAGCATCTCTCTGCTATCCAAGGCTTGGGATTTTTAAAAAGAAAAACAACAACAAAACCAAAAAACAATGTGAATTTTCCACCATCTTATAAAGGTGAAAAGCCCCCTCCCACATCTGGACGAACATGCATGCATGGGTTTGAGGGCTTGGGAAAAAGACAGGGCTTGGCCCCACAGTGCAGGTAGGCCCAGTGATCCTATGAGAGGGGCCGGGAGGTGGGGGAGGTCCCCTGTAGGCAGGAGGTCAAGCATGTTGTATTATATGACTGGTGCTTGATGAACCAGGGGAGAGGGCACCAAGAACAACAGTATTTAATTGAAAAATCTCCACCACCTAAGGGTATGTTTTCAGGTCTGGGTGACTAATTAGACTGGGAAACAAGGGAGGGCAAGATGGCCTGTGCTTCCCCTGCCTCCTGCCTCTGGTGGATGCAGGGGCCACTGGCTTCAGTACTGTTTTTCTTTCTGATGGCCCTTGTTATTTCTGCATAAATATTTAACTACACATTCAAATGTCTAAACTATATATTGTAAGAAAAGCAAGTATTTATTTGTCAGAAGGCCTGAGGTAGGCTGGGGTTACTCTGTGTTGTCTTCCTACAGCAGGGCCTCACTGTCCTCCCCCTCAGCAGTGGACTCTCCGGTTGGGGTGTTCTCTGATGGAGTTTCTGCTGGGGCTTTGCTGTCCTTGGGATAAGAATAACAATGGCAAGGTTTTAATTCTTGAAAGGAGCAATTAAGCTTCTCGTCCCCTCCTCATTTTAGATGGGAACTGTGAGGGCCCATCATTTACCCCCCTCTTCATTTTAGATGGGAACTGTGAGGGCCCATCATTTACCCCCTCCTCATTTTAGATGGGAACTGTGAGGGCCCATCATTTATGCCCCTCCTCATTTTAGATGGGAACTGTGAGGGCCCATCATTTACCCCCTCCTCATTTTAGATGGGAACTGTGAGGGCCCATCATTTACCAAGTGTACCTGTTGAAGGTCTCGTCCTCACTGGCAGACTTCTTGTCGTGCAGCTTCCGTGCCATGTCATGTTTTTCACGCGTGTGGCACTGAGACGTCTGTACATATCCCTAAGCCAGAGTGGCCATCTTAAGAAAAAGCCACTCTAGAAGATAGAAAGGGAAATATTAATTTTGCATGTCTTCTGCTTTCTCTGGCCACAGCAATGAATCCTGCTCCAATGTACCTGAGTCACACTTTGGGATGAGGATGTCCTGTGTGGCAGACCTCTGGAAATGCCCCTGGGGAGACACAGGCACAAGACAGAGAGTGACGCTGCTGTTTCCCACGTCTCTCACATTGTACTTCTCTGGTCTTAATTAGGACTAAATGAGTACCTCAGTCCAAAATCACAGGGAGCAAAACCACTGCAAACCACATACCTGGGGTCTTGAAAATTATTCCATGCAGGTGGGACTTTTAGAAGCTCTCCCCGTCTGTCCAGAAGGGCCCCACAATATAGCTGGAGGGACTTTGTGTGTGGCTCAGCATGGAGCACGGGGAGGATGTTCAGTCCCAAGCGCCCTTGTACAGTGAACAAATGGCACAACCATGCTAGGCAGAAGCATTTTACATCAGTCCCCTTCGGACTTGGTCTCAAGGCATCATTTGATGGGGGGTGGAGGATGAGGTCGCTTTTTTTTTCTAGATGCTGTATTTGCTTTATTCTATAAGTTGAATCACCTCAAGCAAGTGCCTGAGTACAACTAGCCAAGTTGTCTATCTCATAGATCTTCATACAGCAGGCTGTCGCTGGTGAGTGAGTGAGCTGTGACATCAGCTTAAAGGACAACATATTCTTTTGAATGTGAATAAAATAGAAAAACCAGAGTGCATTGTGGACCATGGGGCAAGACACTCTCCCTTTCTCGTCCTCAGGTTTCCTATCACAAAGGACAAACTACTGTCTAAATTCTCTCCTATTTCTTCCTTTTTTTTTTTTTTTTTTGAGACCAGTTTCACTCTTTTTGCCTAGGCTGGAGTGCAAGTGGTGTGACCTTGGCTCACTGCAACCTCCACCTTCTGGGTTCAAGCGGTTCTCCTGCCTCAGCCTCCCAGGTAGCTGGGATTATAGCTGTGTGACAGCATGCCTGGCTAATTTTGTATTTTTATTAGAGATGGGGTTTCATCATGTTGGTGAGGTTAGTCTCCAACTCCTGACCTTAATTGATCCACCTGCCTCGGCCTCCCAAAGTGCTGGGATTATAGGTGTGAGCCACCTGGCTTGGCCTTCCTAGTTAAAATTCTGTGAGGTTTGTATAACAGGAATACAGTGAGAACCCAAAAACCAGTAAGATGAAAAAGTAGTGTTTCCCCAGTTTGTGGATCCAGGGAAAAAAGAAAGGAAAAAAAGAAAAAAGAGAAAGTAGTGTTTCCTGCCACTTTAGAGGAAGGACTCACATATTCTTCCTTCCATCAGCCTTGATGGAGACTAGCACCCTCACTCCAACACCAGGTGGCCTTCCCTGCCCCTTCCCCAGAGCCTCCAAGAAGATCCCTAGCCTGCCACCACCAGCAGGAACAGGCACCAAAACCTTTCCCCTTCCTGTCCCTTCCCACCTCCCCAAAGGGCTGGGGACATCAGATGTGTCCTTGTTAGTTCCATCCAGCTCAGCTTTGGCTGGGGAGCTAATTTCAGGGGAATCAGGCTAAGCATTACGGTAAGTAAGTATTCTTCCTGTCTTGGGTAGTTTCCTCCCTAAAAAATGAGGACAGAGTTCTAAGCTTTCCTCTATTTCTTAAATTATAATTTAAAAATTGCTGGATTGGCTGGGTGCGGTGTCTCACACCTGTAATCCGAGCACTTTGAGAGGCTGAGGCGGGTGGATCACGAGGTCAGGACTTTGAGACCAGCCAGGCCAACATGGTGAAACCCTGACTCTACTAAAGATACAAAAAATTAGCTGGGCATGGTGGTATGTGCCTGTAATCCCAGCTACTCAGGAGGCTGAGGCAGGATTAAAAAAAAAAAAAAATCACCAGACTAATATTTACCTTCGGAATGCTTCTTCACCGTCCTTTGGTGCCCTTCTATGACGGTATATCTGCTTTGGAAGAAAACACAATTAAGATTACCCATCACAACCACCACTATCTCCAAATCTGTATTTATTTCTTTTATTCATTATAAGACTCATCCACCTGAGGACAGAACTTTTTGGAGACAGGAATTGTATGCTGTTTACAGTGCTTTGATTCTTCCACAGTACACTCATCCTTGATATCTTGTAGGGGATTGGTTTTAGGATACTGCCCCCACACCATACCAGAATCTGTGGATACTCAATCCCTTATATATAATGATGCAGTATTTGCATATAACCAACACACATCCCCCATATACTTTATTCATTTAGAGACAGGATCACCCTGTGTTGTTCAGACTGGAGTGCAGTGGCACAATCACAGCTCGCTGCAGCCTCAGCCTCCTGGGCTCCAGTGATCTGCCTAACTTAGTCTCTTGAGTAGCTGGGACTACAGGTGCACACCACGATACCTGGCTATTCTTTATTTTTAGTAAAGACCACGTATCGCTATGTTGCCCAGGCTGGTCAAGTGATCCTCCCACCTTGGCTTCCCAAAGTGTTGGGATTACAAGTGTGAACTATCATGCCTGGCCCCATGTACTTTAAGTCATCACTAATAAAATGTATAGATATTGTACAATGGTGACAGTTGTTCTGCTGTAATTTCTATTTGTATTTTGCTGGTTTTTTTTTTTTTCAAATATTCAGCCTCATCTAGTTGAGTCTGAAGATGTGGACCTGCTGATACAGAGGGCTGACTGTATCTAACTTAGGGTCTTACATGCAGCTGGCACTTAATATATTTTATTGACTGTTTTAGATAAAATTCAACAGATAATTCCTAATAAAAACTCTTAAAAGTAGGAAAAAAAGGAAACCTGATTCCTTCCTCTAAAATGGCAGGAAAACCAGCCTGGGCAGCATAGCAAGACCTTGTCTCTACAAAAAAATTTTTAAAATCAGCTGCTGGCCTGTAGTCCTAGCCACTCAGGAAGCTGAGGCAGGAGGATCCCTTAAGCCCCAGACTTTGAGGGTACAGTGACTGCTCTCCAGCCTGGGTAAAAACAGGAAAGGAAGGAAAGAAGGAAGGAAGAGAGGGAGGGAGGGAGGGAGGGAGGGAGGGAGGGGAGGGAGGGGGAGGGAAGGAAGGAAAGAGGGAAGGAAGGAAGGAGGGAGGGAGGGGGAGGGAAGGAAGGAAAGAGGGAAGGAAGGAAGGAGGGAGGAAGGGAGGGAAGAAAGGAAGGAGGGAAGGAAGGAGGAAGGAGGGAGGAAAGAAAGGAAGGAGGGAAGGAAAGAAGGGGGAGGTGGAGGGGGGAGGAAGGGAGGGAGGAAGGAGGGGAAGGAAGGGAAGAAAGTAGAGTATAACTATTGGAAAGGAAGAGAGAAAACTATCATTATTTGCATATGAAATGATAAATATTAGACAGCCAAGAAAGCCTAAGAGGATCAACTAACATTTTACTGGAAGTAATATAAGAATTCAGTACGGTGGCTAAATACAAAATCAAGAGATCAGCATACAAAAAATTTTTTTATAAAGATGGCTACCTCGAATACTTTTCCCATGTACCACCAATAACTATTTAGAAAAATGGGAAGAAAGATCCCATTTACAATGGTAATAAAAATGTATCAAGTATTTAGGAGCAAAAATACAAAGATCTTTTATCTAACAGAAGATGTGTAAGATCTATATGATGAACACAGACTCTTCTGAAAGACATTCAAAAAAATGAATACATGACAAGAGATGTCACGTTCCTAGAATGTTGTACAGATGTTACTTGTCAAATTAATCTGCAAATTTAGTGTGATCCTATTCAAATCCCAAGACAGGTTTTGGTGGTGGCTATTTTTGAGACAGGGTCTTGCTCTGCTGCCCAGGCAAGAATGCAGTGGTATGACCACAGCTCACTGCATCCTCGACCTCCCAGGCTCAAGCAATCCTCCCACTTCAGCCTCTGAAGTCTCTCGTATGGTGTCTAAGCAATGGTGACAAATCTCACAAAGGGAGTAGGCTCAGAAGGGCTGGAGTATTCAGGGAAGGTATCAAGAAGAAAGACGAACTTGAGATGGCTTTTGAGAGATTCATAGCATTCCCTCAGGCAGAGTGAAACAAGGGAATTTTAAATGGACAAAGGTACAGACAAAAGTAGAAATGGGCATGGTGTGACCAGGGTATGGTGAGGGGCTGCTCTGGCTGGAATGGAGGGCTGCCACAATAATGGAAATGGTGAGTGAGGGAAATAAAGTTGGATTGGCAGCATAGCGTCAAGGTTGCCAGCTTATTAACTCACTCTTCCAATATGCTAGCACTGGCCTGTTGGGAAAAGTAATACATCGTGTAATCGAACAAAAGGCAAACAGAGGCAAGCTCTGGGAATGGGCGCTATAAACAGGACTCGCCCCAGAGTAGCCAGATACAGGCTTTAGATATGTAATGCAGAGTGAGCATCCCTAATCCAAGGAGAAATGTCTCATATGGTGTCTGAGAAATGGTGACACATCTCACAGAGAGCCTGGGCTCAGGAGGGCTGGAGTATGAGACATTCCCCCTCCCCTGTGAAATTAAATAAGTGGCCAACTACTTTTTTAAAAGATGGCTACCCTGTAGTGCTTTAACTGGACCTATTTAGACAATGCCCTACACACTGGAGAAGGAAGACACTGTGTGAGTCTGGTAAGTCTACAAGACGAGACCTCTCTTTTGCCTTGTCCTTCCTCTCCAGGGTGATGACAGCTCTGTGAGGGTGAAGATTAGACATTTCTCTTCATTTCAACAACAAGGAAGTAAATTAGTGGCAGAGTACATTCAATTGTCAACATAGTTTTGGGTGGGAGAAATTTTGCCATTATATCAACTTAATTTCTTAAAATAGTCTAGTGGGATTAACTTAATTTCAATTGACAGAAATGTCCTGGAAGTGACGATCCTTTAAAAATCCTGGAATATACATTACAGTAAAAGAACAAAGCATACCTCGGCCTTAAACAACTGAAGGAGAATGTCAAGTAGTAGTAGGTGGGAAAGTGGCTTTGATTTTCAGTTTGTGGGTTCTGAATCTACACAAAGACAGGATTGCATTCTGAAAACCTGAATTAATTATTGTCCTTACCTGAATGAGACAGAAAATGATGATTAAAATTGTTACAATTACAGTCACAGATACTGCCAGGATGAGTTTGTTGTTGAAGCCATATCCTGGAACTTTAGTGTGCTAAAAAACAACAATTTTTTTAAGAAAACAAAGAGATAGGATGAAAGCTAACTATTCAAAACCCCAGTATTCCAAGTGAGTAGCTTACAGGTTCTTTTTTATTTTTTTTGAGACAGGATTCCACTCTGTTGCTCAGGCTGAAGTACAGTGGTACGATCACGGTTCCCTGTAGACTTGACCTCCCTGGGTTCAGGTGATCCTCCCACCTTAGCTAGCCTCCTGAGTAGCTGCGACTACAGGCATGTGTCACCACACCTAGCTAATTTTTGCGTTTTTTGTGGAGACAGGGTTTCACTATGTTGCCAAACTCCTGGTCTCAAACTCCTGACCTCGAGTGTTCCACCCACCTTAGCCTCCCAAAGTGCTGGGATTACAAGCATGAGCCACCTGGCCAAAGTCACATGGCCAAGACAAGCTATGGCCTGTGAGTCCCAGGTTCTCTTGTGTTGGCACTTCCCTGACATATGCTAAATGATGGGAAAGTCCGGGTCTCACCTTTCTGTGTGGTCCTCACCTCACTTGACCTCTGCTCTTTCTGTTCACTCTGGGCTTCCGTGCTCTCATTGATATAGTTGTTGGTTTTCCACTGGTCCGTATCCCACTCTGCCTTGGATGCCTTTACTTCTTGCCGTTCACTGAGAAGCTTCATCAGGAGGCCTGTCTTGGAGATGAGCTTAGCACAGGCTAATTACACTTGGGTCTCAGAGCAGTCCATCTTCAAGGTCCGGATAACATGAGATATGTCTTCTCACACTGTTGTCTGGTTTAGCTGAATTTCAAACTGATCACCGGGGCGACGAGAGCAATGAGTAATTGAAGTTTTTGGGCTTGGGAAACAGGTCAGTGCCCAGGTCATTGTATTCCCATTTTATTTCACTGGTTTGTTTAAATAACAGTTGGCTCTAAGTTGAAGGCAGTCCCAGTGGAATCTGCCTCAGGAGGATTATTGTAGGTTGTGCCTTCAGAGATGGTGCCTTCTGGCATAGCATTGTTTTCATTAAAAATGTTTTCTCCAAAGGCATTTCCTGCACTGGTGTTCCTACATCAGTGTTTTCTATAAAATGCTCTGAAGTTCTAGAAAAGGATTTTTTTGGGGAGGCATGTCACCCAAAGATGAAGAAGCCCCTCTGCATGGAGGCCTGGGCCTTTTTCTGACTCCAGATGCAGATCTCTTAAACCCTAAATCTAATTGCCTCCGCACACCTAGTCTGCCTCCATATGCGTCCCGCTTGCCTTTCAAACTGGTTTCACTGTAAACGCAGTTCAATTCTAGTTTACACTTGGTCCAATCTAATCCCCAATCACATAGTCTTCAACGGCTCCCTCTGCCCAAGCCCCAACCCTCAGACTAGGTCTCCGAACCAGGCCCCATCCATCCACGGGCTCGGACCTCCGAAAGCAGTATTTTTTTCTAAAATTTATGGTTGGTTTTCTGTCTAACCTCAGGTTGGGCTTTTGCAGAGGTGGAGGCGGAGGGCTCATCCATGGAGAAGGGTTTCAGCAAAGAGGAGACCCCTGTCTTATGCTCTTGGGTGAACAAAGGCTTGGTGTAGATAGTGTTTCCCACTAACTTCTTGGGCCTCTGCACCAGGTGAGGCTGTTCCAGTTCCCTTGGGGCTGCACTCCCGGGCCTTTTTCCCTTGGCAGTGTTTTCCACAAATGCCTGGGCACTCTGTTCCCTCCTGATGCTCTGCTTTCCCACCTCTTTGAAGTGCCTTTTCTGGATGCTCCTTGGGCCCATGAGGACTCTGCTCTCTGCAGGCTTTTTCCTACACTTTGAATCTTTGCCAGGCTGTTTTCCTGTGGTTGGGCAGTTTCTAATTTGGTCTGAAAATTTGGGACCTAAAAGCCTGGACTGTACAAGCATGGCAGTTTTTTCTTCCCGTTTAACCTCATCGATTTTTTCTTGAATTTCTGCATCTAACACACGTTCTTGAATTTCTGCATCTAACACATTGAGAAATACAGCTTTCTCAATTTATTTTCTTAAGTTGAGTTGTTGGGTGCAGGTTGAAGAGAGGGGCTCTTTATATTGTTTTTCAAAATACCCAGGGGCCTGTCACCATCTTGTGAACCTGAAAAAAGCAGTTTAATGAACGGTAACAACATTGCCTCCCCATCGTCTAGATTTCCTGCCGAGAAATAACTTGTCTGACTGTAACTTAAAATGAGGGTATTTTTGCAAAAGCGTCGGTAGGGGGAACTGGTGAGATCACAGTTAGGGGACTGGAAATATCTGCCTTCTCCCTCTAGATCCCCTAGGTGTTCTGTGGAACTGCCTTTCAGTACATGAGGTACTTGAGGGGGCTATATCGGGTTGGGCTGCTAGGCCTATGTAAAACGGTGGCTGTGGATTTAAGCATAGCCAGCAATCTTTTCCTAGATCTGGGTTTGTCTGGTTGAGCAGGTGGTGTGTGGCAGACAACATGTTTAGAAGGTTCAAGCCTTCTATGTCTGGGGCGGGGGGCTTCTGTGAATAGGTTCAGAATGGTGATAGCAGAGCTAGGAGTGGAGGATAGGTTGGGAGTAGCAGGGCTAGGACTGGGGGCTTTCTGGACCTTGGGGATGACTTCTGGGGGCCTTAGGACCTCGGCTACGGGTCCCACTGGGCGGTCAGTTCTGGGCAATGGTATACGCTGGATGGTAAAGATGTTTTCCTTATCACGTCCACTCACATATACCCTAAGACCCCAGGTTCGTCCTGTTGCTCATCTCCCATCTGGTTACAGAACCGTTATTTTGAGTGGGTTACAAGAACCGGTGTGGCAAGGGCTCGGGGGAGAGTCTCGGATGAACTTTGGCTCCAGATGGGACCAACAGTAACAGCTTAGTGCACCGGTCTCAGGTGAGAGCATCAGAGCCAACACTCAGGGTGGGAGGAACCAGAGAAGGGGCCCCATCTAAGGGTGAACTTGCAGAATGGGAGAGAGATGGAGAGTTGAACAGTGGATCCTGGGGTGGCAGGATCAGTAGGGCTCCTGCATTTGGTGCACTTGTATGTTGTGCAGGACAGGTCTCAATTATGCATAGTTATGTGTAGTGCTCCCTTCAGAGTGAGGAGCTCTCGTGGGTGTTGCCTGTTTTGTGGGTAAGCCTGACTCTGGGAATAGTCAAATGGAAGAAGCAAAAGAGCAGTTGAAAAAATGTTTGCGTTAGGCTGAGCAGCTCCCAAGAAGCAGCTCCCAATTCGTTCCATGCCAAGGCCTGCCCCTGCCTCACCTCCCTTCCTCCTGAGCCAGGGGTTCAGCCCACTAGCACTAGTGAGGGGTTGGGGGCCCTGCTAGAGCTGGGACCACCATTGACCTGACCTGTGGTTTGTTTCTCTGCCAGGAAGTCCCTCTGGATTGGACTCCAGTTAAAACACTGTCCTTCCTCACATGGTCTCTTACAGTGCTGCCGCTCATACCCTATAAATTGCTTCCACTCGGTCCCCTCCATCCAGGAGGCCTGTCCTGGAGATGAGCTTAGCACAGGCTAATTGCACTTGGGTCTCAGAGCAGTCCATCTTCAAGGTCCGGATAACATGAGATATGTCTTCTCACACTGTTGTCTGGTTTAGCTGAATTTCAAACTGATCACCGGGGGACGAGAGCAATGGGTAATTGAAGTTTTGGGGCTTGGGAAACAGGTCAGTGCCCAGGTCATTGTATTCCCATTATGTTTCACTGGTTTGTTTAAATAACAGTTGGCTCTAAGTTGAACGCAGTCCCAGTGGAATCTGCCTCAGGAGGATTATTGTAGGTTGTGTCTTCAGAGATGGTGCCTTCTGGCATAGCATTGTTTTCCATAAAAATGTTTTCTTCAAAGTCATATCCTGCAGCGGTGTGTTTTACATCTGAAGGAGCAAAAAGTTCTGGGAAAGGATTTTTTTGAGGAGTCCTGTCTCCTAAAGATGAAGAAGCCCCTTCTGAAGGGGAATTTATGAGGCTCTTTGCTGCAGAGAACGGAGGCTTCTTGGCAAGCATCAGTCTGTTGAGAGAACTTTTCTTTCTGAACTTTCGACTCTTTTTGACCTTGGGTGTTCAAAAAGAACTCCCTTGGGAGCGAGTTTTATGAAAGCGGTCTCAGCGCGGTCGCCTCCGTCCCTCACCGACCCTGCCGCAGGCCCAGCCTGGCCTCCTCCCCGGCGGCTGGCTGCACGCGCCGAAGCTCCTGCGCCTTCCGGGTCTCACGGCGCGCACAACTCCCCGCGCCCGCCTGCACAGCCGCGCCCAGACGTCGCCGGCCCATGGACGCGGCCTCGGGCCCGTTGCCTCCCGTTGCAGCCCGCCTCTGAGGCGCGGTTCGCCACAGGCCCGGCTCATCCGCGCCGCAGCCGAAACCCTGGACGCCAAGCAGCAGCTGCAACTAGCAGCGGAGCACCCCACGCACTGCACCGAGCGCGGGTAGGTGATGGGGTGTACCGGGTGGGGGTAGCGCCCGACGCGATTGGCAGCTCCGCCGGCCAACGGCGGCGGCGCCCAGGGTTAAGTAGTGCAGTCCGGTAAGGCTGGGGTCCCGGCTTGGGACGTTCAGGTCTGGTGGACTGGCGCCGAGGCCCGCCGGGCTGACAGCTGCCGGGCTCCTGCGGCGGCCGCGGGGAAGGCGGAGCTGACCTCCTGCTGGCTCTCGGCAAGCCCCCAGCCTCCACGGTCCCTTCCGTAGGCATCTTCCCGAAGCCCAGCTCAGAGAGGATTAGTTTAGCACCTACTGTGTACCAGGCCCTCTCGTAGGAGTCATTTTAGCGTCGGAAAGCGCTGGATACGGCTCCAAGGGCTCGCTCATTAAAGTTTCCCAACCTCTCCATTCTCAACCCCATCTTACACAGGAGGAGACTGAGGAACAGAGAAGTAATAGCGGGTAGCGTTTCAAGGGATGACTAAGGGAAGATGTCCGCGGACTTGAAGAGTGTCAGCTCCATTATGGGAGATTAGCCAAGGCTGACTCTCTGCCAGGTACTGAGCTAGGCATTCTTTCCCCAGTGATATGCTTGAGGAAATGAAGGGTCAGACACCTGGAGTAATTTGTGCAGGATCACTCTGCTAGGAAGGGGCTGAGCTGTCACTCCCGTCCTCCCCTGTCCAGCCTCCTGGCCAAACCTAGAGAAGGCTGTCAACGGCTCAGGCAGAAGGTTGCAGGAGCCCAGAGAGGGGGGAGAGGCGCTCTTTAGAAAACTTAGGTTGGCTTCAAGGAGGAGGGGACTTCAGGATTCAGTACAGTAACGTACATTACAGGTTTGTATCCTAGGGGTCATAGGCCATACCATATAGCCTAGGTGTGCTGTAGGCTATACCACCTAGGTTTGTGTAAGTAAATGCTATGATGTTAGCACAATGGCGAAATCACCTAAATCAGTATTTACTATATATGGAATGCTTTTTTTAAAAGGAGCAAAAGTTTCCTTTCAGTGGGAACTAAATTTGGGGCTAGAGTGTTTTATTTAATTTTTACCCCAAAGTTGCAAAGTGTTTTGAAGTATTTCCCTGTAAAATAATAATATATATTTTTTTGAGACAAACCTTCATTCTGTCACCCAGGCTGGAGTGCAGTGGCTGGATGTCAGCTCACTGCAACCTCCGACTTCTGGGTTCAAGCGATTCATGTGCCAGCCTCCTGAGTAGCTAGATTACAGGCACCTGCCACAATGCCCAGCTAATTTTTGTATTTTTAGTAGACACGGGGTTTCACTATCTTGGCCAAGCTGTTCTCAAACTCCTGACCTCAGGTGATCTACCCACCTCGGCCTCCCGAAGTGCTGAGATTACAGGTGTGAGCCACCATGCCCAGCCAAAATAATTATTTTAATTTAAATAAAACCCACCAAGGAAACTTCAAGCTTTAAGAAATCTAGCTTCCTGGGAAATGTGAGAGGAAGTCAGCACTGATTTCAGAACTCTGATTATAACAATAGATCCATCCCTAAATGAGGCAAATCTTGGAATCCCTTCCATTTTATTTTATTTTATTTTTTTGAGACGAGTCTCACTCTCTCACCCAGGCTAGAGTGCAATGGAATGATCTCACCCCACTGCAACCTGCACCTCCTGGGTTCAAGTGATTCTTCTGCCTTAGTTTCCTGAGTAGGTGGGATTACAGGCATGTGCTACCGATTACAGGCATGTGCTACCGTGCCTGGCTAATTTTGTATTTTTAGTACATGTTGGTCAGGCTGGTCTCGAACTTCTGACCTCAGTGATCCGCCCACCTCGGCCTCCCAAAGTTCTGGGATTACAGATATGAGCCACGGTGCCTGGCCCCACTTCAATTTTTAAAACCATCACTACGCACCATATGCCTATGCTAGGCACTGGAATAAGATGAAGCACCTTCTTGGAGTTTATACACTGATAATTATGCCAGTCAGTCAGTAATAAGATAGGTAAGAATGGCTGTAGGGGAAGTCAGCTGGGTTCTAGCTTATAGTCACATTTCAGGAACTTATTTAACCTGCTGACTTAACAACCTAAGCCTCTTCTCCATGTGTGCACACAGGGTAGACCTCTGAAGGGTGGCACTGTAACTTCTAGGGTGATGTGTTAAGTCAAGGCAGGATGACAGTTCAGCCTCCACCCAGGCTAGTGCAAAGGGCTCTTCACTCGGATTGAAGCCTTCTCTCCCAGACTGAATTCCCCACCCCCAACAGCCCTCCTACAGAAAATTTGGAGTCCTTGCTTATTCCCTGGCGGCCCCTACCCAATAGGGTCATGAATCAATTATCAAACATGCAACAAAAGATATAGAAAGTTAAGCGAAAATGACAACATTTTGGAATAAATGACTGTAATGTGCGTTCTGCCTGCCACCCTAACTGGCACACATTTTGCAGGTCATTTGCTCTCCCTGGAAGGAGGAGTATTCTCAGATTTCACCTTGGTGGAGGAAGAGTTCAAGCTGCCAGAACTGGGCTAGCACTTCTGAATATCCTGAGACAAGGTCCTGTGACTTCCCTGGGAAGCTCTGCAGTGCCCCCACCAGACTCCACCCCACCCCACCAGGCTGCTGGAGTCCTGGGACCCACCTGGGTCTTCAGCCCAAATCCTTCCTTGCTAAGGGGGGGCAGGGCTGGGTAGGGGGCTTGGGCGGGATTGTGACATAAGCTCACCCTGGTGACATGGAGCAGAACTGGACCCAATCCTAACAAAGGTAGTGTAAATAAAGGTGTCATAAAGGATGGGGCGGGGCGCCTGCTTGTCAGGGACACCAGCCTCTAGGGGCTGCCAGAATGGTTCCTGCTCAATGCACAGAACCAGCGCTTCTCATGTCTGGGCTGAGTCTCTGGGCTCTATGGCCCCTCCTCACGTGGCGAATAGTCCAGGAGGCTCAGCCTCTGGAGGGGGTCAAGGACCCGCTCCAGCTGACCTCTAACCCTCTGGGGCCGACTGAGCCCTGGTCTTCCCGCTCCTCGGATCTCCCATGGGAATCTCTCCATGGGCTTAGTTCCCCGGCAGACCCGGAGGGGCTCTGATTACCTGGGGTCCTCTGCTTCCTCCCAGAGGTCAGCCCCACCCCAGGAATTGACTGAGAATTTGGTTGAATTTCTGGACGCAGAGTCAGCTGGAGAGCTGCCCCCCGGGCCCAAGCACTTCTCGTCTCCACACCCGGATCTGAATGACAGGCTGACTCGGAAGGAAAGGCTCCCAGAGGTGGGTCCAATGCCGGACTGGGATCAGAAACAGACCCTAGTTCAGCCTCCTCGCCTCAAAAGCAGGGTTCAAACTGCAGATCTAGATCAGGCTGCAGATTCAAAAGCAACGAGTTTATAGTTTCTCCCAAGAACCTGAAAAAAGATTTAGCTCAGCACTGGAGACTTGCTAAAGTTGTGGGAATTCCACATCATTTTTTAACAAAACAGCATCAGAAACAAACTTTGCAGGATCAGTATCTGCAGGATTCAAGTATGGCTATGCCGGATATTCAAGTATCCCGGCAGCCTGCCTCCAGAACTCCAGGTGAACTCGGATGAGCCTCCAGGGCCCCGTGAGCAAGTTGGACTGTCTCAATTCAATCTAGAGCCTGCAACTCAAAACCCAGAGACCCTTGAAGAGATCCAGTCCTCTTCACGCCAGCAAGAAGCCCCAGTGCGGCTTCCACAGCTCCCTAAGGAGTTAGAACCTTCTTCAACCCAGCAAGAGCCCCCAACCCAGCCTCTAGAGGAGGTAGAACCTTCTGCAACTGAACAGGAAGCCCCAACTGAGCCTCCAAGTCCTCCTATGGAGCCTGAACTTTCCCTCAGTGAGCAGGAGCTGCCAGCTCAGCCTTCTGAATCTTCTGGGGAGCTTGAACCTTCTCAGACCCAGGAGGAGACCCTAGCTCAGCCTCCAGAAGAGATGGAACCTTCTGCAATCCAGGAGACCCCAACTGAGCCTCCAGGTCCTCCTATGGAGGCTGAACTTTCCCCCAGTGAGCAGGAGCAGCCAGCTCAGCCTTCTGAGTCTTCCGGAGAGCTTGAATCTTCTCCAGCCCAGCAGGAAGCCACAGTTCAGGCTCTAGAGCCCCCTAAGGAGGTAGAACCTTCAAGCCAGCAGATGGTCCCAGCTCAGCTCCCAGAGCCATCTAAGGAGGTTGCAGCTCAACCTCCAGCTCATTATGAGGTGACATTTCCAACACCAGGTCAGGATCAAGCTCAGCATTCAATGTCATCCAGCGTTACAGTTCAACCACTGGATCTGGGACTTACCCTATCTCCAGAACCCAGTACAGAGGTTGAACATTCTACACCCCTGAAGAAGACTATAGTTCCTTCAAAGCACCCTAAGGTGACACTTCCACATCCAGACCGTGTTCAGACTCAGCATTCAAACCTGACTCAAACCACAGTTCAACCTTTGGATCTGGGGCTTACCATCACTCCTGAATCCACTACAGAGGTTGAATCTTCCACAGCCCTGACGACTACAGCTCCTCCTCCAAAACAGCCTGAGGTGACACTTCCACCTTCAGACAAGGGTCAGAGTCAGCATCAAAACCTGACTGAAGTCACACATCCACCTACTGAACTAGAACCTACTCAGGATTCACTGGTGCAGCCTGAAACTTACACCCAAAATAGGGCTTTAACTGTACGGAAAGAACAGGCCTCCACAAGCACCAACATATGTGACCTCTGTACCTGCAGAGATGAGACGCTGTCGTGTATTGCTCTCAGCCCGAAGCAGAGGCTCCGCCACGTGCCTGTGCCAGAGCTGAACACCTACTACAGCAACTTCACGATCTTGTAAGAATCACCTTTCCCTCTATTGTCCTCTGTGTCCTGCCTGACATGGCAGGCTTTTCCTGGAGGCCTTCCCAGGCCTTCTTTATCTCCCCAAGCCATACTGACAGCTGACTTTCTGCTTTCACCTTTGCTTGTCCACGCTTCCTTCTCCTCATTCTCCTTTACTGTTAGGCCCCTTCTCTAGTCTTTTACTTTTACTCTAGTCTTTTACCCTTACTCGTTTTCTTATCCATTTTTCTTTAGCCTCATCACGTCATTGCTTAACCGCTGCTCTCCTCCCATTTTCACTTCAGCCTCTTTACAGCAGCCTGTCCCTCTCCCCATCTCAGTGATGATGCTCTAAGTGATTAAGAGTTGATTCTGGAGCCAGGCTGCCTGGGTTTGAACCCAGGTCTGTCATTTATTAGCGTGGTGACCCAGAGCGAGTTATTCTGCTCTGTGACTGTTTCCTCATCTTTAAACTGGGGATTATGCTAGTTACTGTTTCACAGGATTGTTGCAAAATTTAGTTGAGTGAATATATGAAATGCTTGCATTGGTGCCCAGCATATGTAGGAGAGTTGGTTGTTAACATGATTACTCAGTCCTCTAGTTTTGTCCGGAACTCATCTTTGTTCCTGGCTTTCTATATGTAGCACTCGTTTTGTGTCCAACCCAGGGCCAAGTATGCTACTGTCTCCGGAACATGAAAATGATAGGAAGGAAGAGAGAATAGGCACAAAAAGGGAGGTATATATAATTAAGTACTAAAAGCTAATGCAGAACATCAGTGCTAGAATTTACCAGAATCTGTGATCCCTGAGGTGTGGAGGTCAGGGAAAGCTATGTAGATAAGCTAAAATTTTACTTGGGTCTTAAAGAGTAGCTGTAATTTGTTCAACAGAAAAAAATGGGAGTATAATCCAGGCAAAGGCATGGCTACAGGTATGGTTGGAATTTAGTAGACCAATCTCGCTGCACAGAATCACATGAGGGAACAATGAAGATATGATTGTGTAAAACCTTGATTATCAGCTATAGGAGTTTGAAAGTTACACAGTGAGATATGGAAAGCCATTGAAAGTTTCCAAGCAAGAGAGATGAAATGATTAAAACAGGAAGATCATTTTATTTTATTTGGTTTTTTGCTTTATGTTCAAGTGTAGACATGCAAAGGATTGTTTTAGAATCCATATGTAGAGAGCCCTAGAGGAGAAAGCTTAATTCAGGGAGACAAACAGAAAGGTCTAGCAAAACCTAGGAGTAAAGTGTGAAGGGGCTAAATCAGATCGGTTGCAATAGAAGTGGAAAGAAAAATCCTAGGATGTTTCAGCAGAGGGCACTGGGCCAAAGCTTTGGTGTTACCTGGCATAGGGTTTCTTTCTTCTTATTTGTTGATAATGATAAGCCTTGCCCATTTTCTGTTGAATTATTTACCATTTTTGTATTGATTTTTTAGAAGGAATTGTTTAGACACGTAAGTACTTTTGGATAAAATACTTACATTCAAAGTAATTAACTGGCATCATCTGTCTAAGAGTTTGGAGGGATAGGAAGTTAAACTTCAGGAGACGCCTCATCATTTGTGCCAGTGGCCCCACATTATTTTTTGATTAATTGTACAAACTGGAAAGCTGATAGCTCTGGAAATTAAAAGGCAGGTGTTATTTTCTGTAACTGAATATCCCTGACAAGGCTGCCATGATTCTTTTACTTATCCTGTTCATTCTTTTCATACCTATTCAAGGATATAAACTGTGTTTCTTTACAGAAATTTACAAGGAAACTATATTTCTTATATTGATGGAAAGGTATGGAAGGCATACCATTGGACCGAGAAACTGTGAGTATATTCTCTCCAAATATGACAAAAAAACTAACTGCATTGTAAGATCCTTCTTGGTCCAGAATTTTGAGGTCTGTACTTCTGAGAAAAGGTATTTCCCCTCCATACCCCAAATCAACCTCTGTTGATTGCAATCCTATGGTTATTTTAGAATTAAATTTGGTGAGCTTTCTTTAAAATAAGAGGCAATTTAAACTTATTTTTTATCATACAAATAATACATGATTATATTCCGTTTTTTTTTTTTTTCCAGAGACAGGGTCTTACTTTGTTCCCCAGGCTGGAATGCAGTGGCACAATCACAGCTCACTGCAGCCTCCACCTCCCAGGCTCAAGAGATCCCCCGCCTCAGCATCCAAAGTCTCTGGAACCACAGGTGCATCACAGTTTGTATTTTTTGTAGAGACAGGGTCTCCTTATGCTGCTGAGGCTGGTCTCAAACTCCTGGGCTCAAGTGATCCTCCCACCTTGGCCTCCCAAAGTGCTGGTATTACAGGCATGAACCACCACCTCCAGCCCATGATTTATTTTTAATGTATAAAAATGAAATAACAGATAGAACAAAAACCCTCCTTGTGCCCTACTCCCTCATTACCTCCTTGTGCCCTACTCCTTTGTTACCTGAGGTAATGCTACCCTGCATATAGTATATATTCCTCAAGACTTTTTCCCTTTGCCTACATACATATTAACATAAAGCAAAATAGATTTGTTGTGTGGTTTTTAAGATCTTTTTTCTTTACATAAGTGGTAACATCTTGTAACTTGATTCTTTCACTTCATGATATGCCTCAGATTTCTTTCCTTCCCAGTACTTAGAATCCACAACCAGTACTTAGTTACCCTATTCATTTAAACAATCCCAGTACTTAGTTACCCTATTCATTTAAACTCCTGCATAATCCATAGTATGGATGCATCATAGTTTATTTAATAATTCTCCCATTGATGAATGTTTAGATTAACATTTCGTTTTCTTGTTATGTGCATTGCTGCAATGAAATCCCTGCACATGCTTCTTAGTGAAAATGGGAAATTATTCCTGTAGGATAAATATCTAGAAATGGAATTGTTGGGGTATGGGGTATTTATGACTATGCAGACATAAAATTGTAATTGCCCTAAAAAATGTTGTGCCAACTTACTCTGTTGTCAGTAGAATATGACAGCATTCATTTCCCCACAATTTTTCACCACTGGGTATTCTCCAACTTTTGTTGATGTTATAGGTGAATAAAAGGGATTCCATCTAAATTTGAATTGTTCTGATTACTCATGAATTTAATTAAATACCTTTATATGTTTATTGAACATTCGTGTTTCTTCTCTGAGCTTTCTGTCCTTTGTTCATTTTCCTGTTGAATTGTTTTATCATTTTCTTACTGATTTATAGAAGGAATTAGTTTAGACACATAAATGATTTTGGAAAAAATGCTTACATTAGATGTAACTGGCATTTTTCAAAAGAGTTTGTGTGTCACATCATTAGTTCAACTTACATTGAACTAATGTAATTATATTATATAGACAAGTCACACGTGAGTTCTAAATTAAAAATAAAACACATGCTGGGTGCAGTGGCTCACAACTGTAATTCCAGCACCTTGGGTAGCCAAGGTGGGTGGATCACCTGAGGTCAGGAGTTTGTGACCAGCCTGGCCAATATGGCGAAACCTCATCTCTACTAAAGATACAAGAATTAGCCAGGCATGGTGGTGGGTGCCTGTAATCCCAGATACTTGGGAAGCTGAGACAGGAGAATCGCTTGAACCTGGGAGGTGGAGGTTGCAGTGAGCCAAGATCATGCCACTGCACTTCAGCCTGGTCAACAGAGTAAGACTCTGTCTCAAAAACAAAACAAAAAGACAATCATAATAATCTAAGAAGAGGAATTATGGTCACTTTAAAATAGTTTCCCCCACCCTTGTCTGAGGTCTTATTGATAGGAAAAAAAAAAATGCTAGAACCAAACAATTCTGTTTTCTAGCTCTAGAGGAGAGGTGCAACTCTCTGGGGGTTGTGTTCCAGATGTCGTCTTCTGAGAATAAGGAAGGTGTGGGAGATGGCTAGTAAGGGAGTCTACACCCTTCCTCCAGGGTTCCAGGACGCTGTCCACTTTCAGACAATTGTTCCTGCCTGGAGGAAGACACTCTTTGCTGCCTGGTCCAAGGAAGAAGAATATGGGGTTGATGTGCCTTTGTGCTGTTCCAACCAATAACCGAGTATTTCTGATAAAGAAGCATTTGTAGAACTGCTTCCACATTTTGAGCTAACATTGTGGATTTTTTTTTTTTTTTTTTGAGGCGGAGTTTTGCTCTTGTTACTCTACCCAGGCTGGAGTGCAATGGCGCGATCTCGGCTCACAGCAACCTCCACCTCCTGGGTTCAGGCAATTCTCCTGCCTCAGCCTCCTGAGTGGCTGGGATTACAGGTACGCACCACCATGCCCAGCTAATTTTTTGTATTTTTAGTAGAGACGGGGTTTCACCATGTTGACCAGGATGGTCTCGATCTCTTGACCTCGTGATCCACCTGCCTTGGCCTCCCAAAGTGCTGGGATTACAGGTGTGAGCCACTGCGCCCAATCCCCGTTGTGGATTTTACAATTATTTCTGTTCTATAATTTTTAGGGATTTGGTAGTGGTTGGATGGATAGAGACCTGGCATTTTCTCAATCTGCCACTTGAAATAGCACAACTTTTTAGGAAAGCAATTTTGTACCCTTATTATTACATTCTAGAGAAACTCAGGCAAAAATGTTATGTTTCAACAATGTTGAAAGCAGCATTGTTTGTAATAAGTAAAAATTAGAAAAATCTCAGCATCCACCCACAGTAGATGAATCAGTACATTGCAGTATAATCATTCAATGGCATACTCTACAGCTGCATTATTCATTAGAAACCTAATGCAAGCCACATACATAATTTTAACTTTTCTGGTAGTCACTTAAAAAATAAATCTAAAAGGGAAACAGGTGAAACATGTTAATATATTTTATTTCACCCATGTGTCTAAAGTATTATCATTTCAACATGTTATTATGCTATTAATGAGATAGTCTATTTTCATACCAAGTCTTCAAAATATCCAAAGTGGTATCATTTCCACTAAATACATTATACATGTAATTAGTATAAAAATTAATTGTGGAGTTTACATTCTTTTTTCCATAGTACCTTTTTTAAACTAAAGTCCAAATTTGGTTGCTAAATTTTTGTCAAAAAAACTTAATCTGTTCTGCTGAGAAATCTAGGGAGAAAGTTAATAATAATAATAATAATAATAATTAATCTGGCAGGATGTTAGGTAGCTCATGCCCGTAATCCCAGCACTTTGGGAGGCTGAGGCAGGTGGATCACCTGAGGTCAGGAGTTTGAGGCCAGCCTGGCCAATACGGCAAAACCTCATCTCCTCTAAAAATACAAAAAATTAACTGGGTGTGATGGCAGACACCTGTAATCCCAGCTACTCGGGAAGTTGAGGTATAAGAATTGCTTGAACCCAGGAGGTGGAGGTTGCAGTGAGCCAAGATCGTACCATTGAACTCCAGCCTGGCTGACGAATGAAACTCCATCTCAAAAACAAAAACACTCACGCCTGTAATCCCAGCACTTTGGGAGGCTGAGGTGGGCGGATCACCTGAGGTCAGGAGTTCGAGACCAGCCTGACCGTTATGGTGAAACCCCATCTTTAATCTCTAACAACTGCATTGAGTGTCAGCTTTGAAACTTAAAAATAATTAAAATGATTGAAATCAAAGATTCAGTTCCTCAGTCGCATTAGCCACTATCACTAGCCAAATGTAGCTAGTGACCACCTTATTGGAAGCACAACACAGGTCTTGAACCAGCCTCAGCAACATACATCTTAAAAGTACAAACAGATTATTGAGTGAAAGAAGTGATACAGAAAGTAATATGTATAATATGATTTCATTTATATAATGTTCAAGAGACTAAACTATGTTGTTTATGACTGACACATAATAGGTAAAACTACATTTCATTTCATTTTATTTTGTTTATTATTGGGACAGAGTCTGCAGTGGTGCAAACACGGCTCACTGCAGCCTGGACCTTTCATGCTCAAGTGATTCTCCCATCTGAACCTCTAGTAGCTGGGACTACAGGTGATGCCAACATGCCCAACTAATTTTTAAATTTTTCTAGAGAGGAGGTCCTGCTATATTACTCAGACTTGTCTCAAACTCCTGAGCTCAAGCAGTCCTCCCTTCTTGGCATCCCAAAGTGCTGGAATTACAAGTGTGAGCCACCATGCCCAGCCAGAACTACATTTTATTTCTTATTTATTTATTTTTTTGAGATGGAATTTCATTCTTGTCACCCAGGCTGGAGTGCTATGGTGTGATCTCAGCTCACTCCAACCCCCACCTCCCAGGTTTAAGCAATTCTCCTGCCTCAGCCTCCTGGGTGGCTGGAATTACAGGTGCCCGCTACCATACCCAGCTAATTTTTGTATTTTTAGTAGAGACAGGGTTTCACCATGTTGGCCAGGCTGGTCTCGAACTCCTGAACTCAGGTGATTCACCCACCTTGACTTCCCAAAGTGCTGGAATGATAGACGTGAGCCACCATGCTAGGCCAGAACTACATTTTAAAAGCAAGAAAATTATTACAAAAGTCAGGATAGTGGTTACCTATAAGGATTAGAGAGAGGTTTATGATTGGAAAGGGGCACATTGGGGGCTTCTGGGATGCTAGCGGTGATCTTTTCTAACAATGTTACATGGGTATCTGCTTTATAATTATTAAACTGAATATTTGGCCAGGTGAGGTGGCTGACATCTGCAATCGCAACACTTTGGGAGGCTGAGACAGGAGGATCGCTTGAGCCAGGAGTTTGAGACTAGTCTGGGCGACAGAGTGAGACCCTGTCTCAGAAATTAAATTAAATATAAACAACATTTATATTTTGTACACTTTATGCATATTGTAGTTCTCAAATTTTTTTAATGGGGAAAAATGTTGAATGGCTTCACTTGCAGCCCTGACATAGTTCCATGTGGGGCTTTCATAATAAGGTTTGGGGAAAGAGAGGAGGAAATGGAGGTTCTGCTGATCCTGGTGCCACCCAGAGTTGGATTCTAACAGGGATTTTGTGATTTAGAGAGGAGGCATTGAATATACAATTTGGTGGGAAGAGTGGGTAGGGTGTGCTTGTGTGTGTGTGCATGCATGTGTGTGTGTGTGTGTGGTGGTGGTGGTGGTGGTGCAGAGAGATGGACACAGAAATGAAAATGTAAGAGAAGGTTTTATGAAAGTAGAGCAGATACCATCTTGAAATTACTATTACCCAGCTTTCCTCCACATATAGGAGATAGTCCTGTGTAGCAAATAGTTGTAGTTTGCATTTTAATCTAGAAATAACCTTTTCATTTTCCAGAATTCTCAGTGAAAATTATTTGACTGAATTACATAAGGATTCATTTGAAGGCCTGCTATCCCTGCAGTATTTGTAAGTTAGTTAGTTAATCCTATTTATGAGTTTTAGTCATATTATCTGTAAAATGAGATAATCTCTAAGATTTCTTCCAGGAATAAAATTCTTTAATTCTGTAAGTTTATATAGGGTCTTAGCCCATCTCTAGCATTAGTTACTACTTATGCATTTTCAATTTTTAAATTATATAGACAAAATACAGCCAGAAGAAAATTCAAATGGTGAATCTGAGCAGTGATTGACATTCATATGAACCTTGTTTTATAACTGTTCACATACCATCTTCTTATATTCAATCTACAACCAAGAGATCAAATCTAATCTAGGGTCTATTTTTAAATAGTTCATTAAGTTAATGGTTTTTGCATTTTTTTTTTTTTTTTTTGAAACGGAGTCCTGCACTGTCACCCAGGCTGTAGTGCAGTGGCTCGATGTTGGCTCACTGCAATCTCCGCCTCCTGGATTCAAGCAATTCTCCTGCCTCAGCCTCCTGAGTAACTGGGATTACAGGTATGCACTGCCACGCCCAGCTAGTTTTTTTGCATTTTTAGTAGAGTCTGGGTTTCACCATGTTGACCAGGATGGTCTCGATCTCTTGACCTCGTGATCCACCCGCCTCGGCCTCCCAAAGTGACTAAGCTGTTTTTAATGCCCAGAGAATGTCTAATTAATTTTTCACTCCCAACAGGAATTGAAAAAGGGACTACAGAAGTTGGGGGCTTATTCAGACTCTTCTTAGAAGTCTACCTTCTTCCTGTGTACTTTCAGCCCAAAGTGAAATTTTTGAGTTGGGAAGAGATACTTCTGAATTAAACTACTGATCAGTGTCACCCAGTTCTAATCCCAACCACATTTATTCTAGGCATACCATACTCACTGCCATGCTTACCCTTCTGTTGTGCATCTCTGCCCTCCTTCCTGTGGCCTTCTGGTTCCTACCCAACTGTCCAGTCCATAGGCCTCAATAACAGCTTTTTGCACAGCCCTGTGGTAGCATTGGTCTGCCTCCTTTACCTACTCAAGAAACCCCTTCACCATTAATTTATTGTTCTGTGTTTTTATCTATAGGATCTGACCTAGCCATATGGCCTGCTGCCTCTGCCAATTTAAAAATAGCATTGAGGTTGCCTGCAAGACAGTCAAGCTGCATTGCAACAGTGCATGTCTGACAAACACCATACATTGTCTTGAAAAAGCATCTATAGGGAATCCCGAAGGAGCGTTCATGAAGGTGTTACAAGCCCGGAAGAAGCACACAAGCACTGAGCTGACTATTGAGCCAGAGACACCCTCAGACAGCAATGGCATCAACTTGTCAGGCTTTCGGAGTGAGCAGCTAGACATCAATGATGAAAGTGATGTTATCAGTGCACTAAATTATATCTTGCCTTATTTCTCGGCAGGAAATCTAGACGATGGGGAGGCAATGTTGTTACCACTCATTAAACTGCTTTTTTCAGGTTCACAAGATGGTGACAGGCCCCTGGGTATTTTGAAAAACAATATAAAGAGCCCCTCTCTTCAACCTGCACCCAACAACTCAACTTAAGAAAATAAATTGAGAAAGCTGTATTTCTCAATGTGTTAGATGCAGAAATTCAAGAACGTGTGTTAGATGCAGAAATTCAAGAAAAAATCGATGAGGTTAAACGGGAAGAAAAAACTGCCATGCTTGTACAGTCCAGGCTTTTAGGTCCCAAATTTTCAGACCAAATTAGAAACTGCCCAACCACAGGAAAACAGCCTGGCAAAGATTCAAAGTGTAGGAAAAAGCCTGCAGAGAGCAGAGTCCTCATGGGCCCAAGGAGCATCCAGAAAAGGCACTTCAAAGAGGTGGGAAAGCAGAGCATCAGGAGGGAACAGAGTGCCCAGGCATTTGTGGAAAACACTGCCAAGGGAAAAAGGCCCGGGAGTGCGGCCCCAAGGGAACTGGAACAGCCTCACCTGGTGCAGAGGCCCGAGAAGTTAGTGGGAAACACTATCTACACCAAGCCTTTGTTCACCCAAGAGCATAAGACAGGGGTCTCCTCTTTGCTGAAACCCTTCTCCATGGGCGGTCCCTCCGCCTCCACCTCTGCAAAAGCCCAACCTGGGGTCAGACCGAAAGACACCATTTTGGTTTAAGAAAAGGCAAAGGCTAGAGTTAAAAATGTGAAGGCTGCTAAACCAACCATAAATTTCAGAAAAAAATAACGCTTTCATAAAACTCACTCCCATGTGGTCCACAGAACACCCAAGGTTAAAAAGAGTCGAAACTTCAGAAAGAAAAGTTCTCTCAACAGACTGATGCTTGCCAAGAAGCCTCTGTTCTCTGCAGCAAAGAGCCTCATAAATTCCCCTTCAGAAGGGGCTTCTTCATCTTTAGGAGACAGGACTCCTCAAAAAAATCCTTTCCCAGAACTTTTTGCTCCTTCAGATGTAAAACACACCGCTGCAGGAAATGACTTTGAAGAAAATATTTTTATGGAAAACAGTGCTATGCCAGAAGGCACCATCTCTGAAGACACAACCTACAATAATCCTCCTGAGGCAGATTCCACTGGGACTGCGTTCAACTTAGAGCCAACTGTTATTTAAACAAACCAGTGAAACACAATGGGAATACAATGACCTGGGCACTGACCTGTTTCCCAAGCCCCAAAACTTCAATTACCCATTGCTCTCGTCCCCCGGTGATCAGTTTGAAATTCAGCTAAACCAGACAACAGTGTGAGAAGACATATCTCATGTTATCTAGACCTTGAAGATGGACTGCTCTAAGACCCAAGTGCAATTAGCCTGTGCTAAGCTCATCTCCAGGACAGGCCTCCTGGATGGAGGGGACCGAGTGGAAGCAATTTATAGGGTATGAGCAGCAGCACTGTAAGAGACCATGTGAGGAAGGACAGTGTTTTAACTGGAGTCCAATCCAGAGGGACTTCCTGGCAGAGAAACAAACCACAGGTCAGGTCAATGGTGGTCCCAGCTCTAGCAGGGCCCCCAACCACTCACTAGTGCTATTGGGCTGAACCCCTGGCTCAGGAGGAAGGGAGGTGAGGCAGGGGCAGGCCTTGGCATGGAACGAATTGGGAGCTGCTTCTTGGGAGCTGCTCAGCCTAACGCAAACGTTTTTTCAACTGCTCTTTTGCCTCTTCCATTTGACTGTTCCCAGAGTCAGGCTTACCCACAAAACAGGCAACACCCATGAGAGCTCCTCACTCTGAAGGGAGCACTACACATAACTATGCATAATTGAGACCTGTCCTGCACAACATACAAGTGCACCAAATGCAGGAGCCCTACTGATCCTGCCACCCCAGGATCCACTGTTCAACTCTCCATCTCTCTCCCATTCTGCAAGTTCACCCTTAGATGGGGCCCCTTCTCTGGTTCCTCCCACCCTGAGTGTTGGCTCTGATGCTCTTACCTGAGACCGGTGCACTAAGCTGTTACTGTTGGTCCCATCTGGAGCCAAAGTTCATCCGAGACTCTCCCCCGAGCCCTTGCCACACCGGTTCTTGTAACCCACTCAAAATAACGGTTCTGTAACCAGATGGGAGATGAGCAACAGGACGAACCTGGGGTCTTAGGGTATATGTGAGTGGACGTGATAAGGAAAACATCTTTACCATCCAGCGTATACCATTGCCCAGAACTGACCGCCCAGTGGGACCCGTAGCCGAGGTCCTAAGGCCCCCAGAAGTCATCCCCAAGGTCCAGAAAGCCCCCAGTCCTAGCCCTGCTACTCCCAACCTATCCTCCACTCCTAGCTCTGCTATCACCATTCTGAACCTATTCACAGAAGCCCCCCGCCCCAGACATAGAAGGCTTGAACCTTCTAAACATGTTGTCTGCCACACACCACCTGCTCAACCAGACAAACCCAGATCTAGGAAAAGATTGCTGGCTATGCTTAAATCCACAGCCACCGTTTTACATAGGCCTAGCAGCCCAACCCGATATAGCCCCCTCAAGTACCTCATGTACTGAAAGGCAGTTCCACAGAACACCTAGGGGATCTAGAGGGAGAAGGCAGATATTTCCAGTCCCCTAACTGTGATCTCACCAGTACCCCCTACCGACGTTTTTGCAAAAATACCCTCATTTTAAGTTACAGTCAGACAAGTTATTTCTCGGCAGGAAATCTAGAGGATGTGGAGGCGATGTTGTTACCGTTCATTAAACTGCTTTTTTCAGGTTCACAAGATGGTGACAGGCCCCTGGGTATTTTGAAAAACAATATAAAGAGCCCCTCTCTTCAACCTGCACCCAACAACTCAACTTAAGAAAATAAATTGAGAAAGTTGTATTTCTCAGTGTGTTAGATGCAGAAATTCAAGAACATGTGTTAGATGCAGAAATTCAAGAAAAAAATCGATGAGGTTAAAAGGGAAGAAAAAACTGCCATGCTTGTACAGCCCAGGCTTTTAGGTCCCAAATTTTCAGACCAAATTAGAAACTGCCCAACCACAGGAAAACAGCCTGGCAAAGATTCAAAGTGTAGGAAAAAGCCTGCAGAGAGCAGAGTCCTCATGGGCCCAAGGAGCATCCAGAAAAGGCACTTCAAAGAGGTGGGAAAGCAGAGCATCAGGAGGGAACAGAGTGCCCAGGCATTTGTGGAAAACACTGCCAACGGAAAAAGGCCCGGGAGTGCGGCCCCAAGGGAACTGGAACAGCCTCACCTGGTGCAGAGGCCCGAGAAGTTAGTGGGAAACTTGGAACAAAGGAAACCAAGCCTTTGTTCACCCAAGAGCATAAGACAGGGGTCTCCTCTTTGCTGAAACCCTTCTCCATGGGTGAGCCCTCCGCCTCCACCTCTGCGAAAGCCCAACCTGAGGTTAGACAGAAAACCAACCATAAATTTTAGAAAAAAATACTGCTTTCGGAGGTCCGAGCCCGTGGATGGATGGGGCCTGGTTCGGAGACCTAGTCTGAGGGTTGGGACTTGGGCAGAGGGAGCCGTTGAAGACTATGTGATTGGGGATTAGATTGGACCAAGTGTAAACTAGAATTGAACTGCGTTTACAGTGAAACCAGTTTGAAAGGCAAGCGGGACGCATATGGAGGCAGACTAGGTGTTCGGAGGCAATTAGATTTAGGGTTTAAGAGATCTGCATCTGGAGTCAGAAAAAGGCCCAGGCCTCCATGCAGAGGGGCTTCTTCATCTTTGGGTGACATGCCTCCCCAAAAAAATCCTTTTCTAGAACTTCAGAGAATTTTATAGAAAACACTGATGTAGGAACACCAGTGCAGGAAATGCCTTTGGAGAAAACATTTTTAATGAAAACAGTGCTATGCCAGAAGGCACCATCTCTGAAGGCACAACCTACAATAATCCTCCTGAGGCAGATTCCACTGGGACTGCCTTCAACTTAGAGCCAACTGTTATTTAAACAAACCAGTGAAATAAAATGGGAATACAATGACCTGGGCACTGACCTGTTTCCCAAGCCCAAAAACTTCAATTACTCATTGCTCTCGTCGCCCCGGTGATCAGTTTGAAATTCAGCTAAACCAGACAACAGTGTGAGAAGACATATCTCATGTTATCCGGACCTTGAAGATGGACTGCTCTGAGACCCAAGTGCAATTAGCCTGTGCTAAGCTCATCTCCAAGACAGGCCTCCTGATGAAGCTTCTCAGTGAACGGCAAGAAGTAAAGGCATCCAAGGCAGAGTGGGATACGGACCAGTGGAAAACCAACAACTATATCAATGAGAGCACGGAAGCCCAGAGTGAACAGAAAGAGCAGAGGTCAAGTGAAGTGAGGACCACACAGAAAGGTGAGACCCGGACTTTCCCATCATTTAGCATATGTCAGGGAAGTGCCAACACAAGAGAACCTGGGACTCACAGGCCATAGCTTGTCTTGGCCATGTGACTTTGGCCAGGTGGCTCATGCTTGTAATCCCAGCACTTTGGGAGGCTAAGGTGGGTGGAACACTCGAGGTCAGGAGTTTGAGACCAGGAGTTTGGCAACATAGTGAAACCCTGTCTCCACAAAAAACGCAAAAATTAGCTAGGTGTGGTGACACATGCCTGTAGTCGCAGCTACTCAGGAGGCTAGCTAAGGTGGGAGGATCACCTGAACCCAGGGAGGTCAAGTCTACAGGGAACCGTGATCGTACCACTGTACTTCAGCCTGAGCAACAGAGTGGAATCCTGTCTCAAAAAAAATAAAAAAGAACCTGTAAGCTACTCACTTGGAATACTGGGGTTTTGAATAGTTAGCTTTCATCCTATCTCTTTGTTTTCTTAAAAAAATTGTTGTTTTTTAGCACACTAAAGTTCCAGGATATGGCTTCAACAACAAACTCATCCTGGCAGTATCTGTGACTGTAATTGTAACAATTTTAATCATCATTTTCTGTCTCATTCAGGTAAGGACAATAATTAATTCAGGTTTTCAGAATGCAATCCTGTCTTTGTGTAGATTCAGAACCCACAAACTGAAAATCAAAGCCACTTTCCCACCTACTACTACTTGACATTCTCCTTCAGTTGTTTAAGGCCGAGGTATGCTTTGTTCTTTTACTGTAATGTATATTCCAGGATTTTTAAAGGATCGTCACTTCCAGGACATTTCTGTCAATTGAAATTAAGTTAATCCCACTAGACTATTTTAAGAAATTAAGTTGATATAATGGCAAAATTTCTCCCACCCAAAACTATGTTGACAATTGAATGTACTCTGCCACTAATTTACTTCCTTGTTGTTGAAATGAAGAGAAATGTCTAATCTTCACCCTCACAGAGCTGTCATCACCCTGGAGAGGAAGGACAAGGCAAAAGAGAGGTCTCGTCTTGTAGACTTACCAGACTCACACAGTGTCTTCCTTCTCCAGTGTGTAGGGCATTGTCTAAATAGGTCCAGTTAAAGCACTACAGGGTAGCCATCTTTTAAAAAAGTAGTTGGCCACTTATTTAATTTCACAGGGGAGGGGGAATGTCTCATACTCCAGCCCTCCTGAGCCCAGGCTCTCTGTGAGATGTGTCACCATTTCTCAGACACCATATGAGACATTTCTCCTTGGATTAGGGATGCTCACTCTGCATTACATATCTAAAGCCTGTATCTGGCTACTCTGGGGCGAGTCCTGTTTATAGCGCCCATTCCCAGAGCTTGCCTCTGTTTGCCTTTTGTTCGATTACACGATGTATTACTTTTCCCAACAGGCCAGTGCTAGCATATTGGAAGAGTGAGTTAATAAGCTGGCAACCTTGACGCTATGCTGCCAATCCAACTTTATTTCCCTCACTCACCATTTCCATTATTGTGGCAGCCCTCCATTCCAGCCAGAGCAGCCCCTCACCATACCCTGGTCACACCATGCCCATTTCTACTTTTGTCTGTACCTTTGTCCATTTAAAATTCCCTTGTTTCACTCTGCCTGAGGGAATGCTATGAATCTCTCAAAAGCCATCTCAAGTTCGTCTTTCTTCTTGATACCTTCCCTGAATACTCCAGCCCTTCTGAGCCTACTCCCTTTGTGAGATTTGTCACCATTGCTTAGACACCATACGAGAGACTTCAGAGGCTGAAGTGGGAGGATTGCTTGAGCCTGGGAGGTCGAGGATGCAGTGAGCTGTGGTCATACCACTGCATTCTTGCCTGGGCAGCAGAGCAAGACCCTGTCTCAAAAATAGCCACCACCAAAACCTGTCTTGGGATTTGAATAGGATCACACTAAATTTGCAGATTAATTTGACAAGTAACATCTGTACAACATTCTAGGAACGTGACATCTCTTGTCATGTATTCATTTTTTTGAATGTCTTTCAGAAGAGTCTGTGTTCATCATATAGATCTTACACATCTTCTGTTAGATAAAAGATCTTTGTATTTTTGCTCCTAAATACTTGATACATTTTTATTACCATTGTAAATGGGATCTTTCTTCCCATTTTTCTAAATAGTTATTGGTGGTACATGGGAAAAGTATTCGAGGTAGCCATCTTTATAAAAAAATTTTTTGTATGCTGATCTCTTGATTTTGTATTTAGCCACCGTACTGAATTCTTATATTACTTCCAGTAAAATGTTAGTTGATCCTCTTAGGCTTTCTTGGCTGTCTAATATTTATCATTTCATATGCAAATAATGATAGTTTTGTCTCTTCCTTTCCAATAGTTATACTCTACTTTCTTCCCTTCCTTCCCCTCCTTCCTCCCTCCCTTCCTCCCCCCTCCACCTCCCCCTTCTTTCCTTCCCTCCTTCCTTTCTTTCCTCCCTCCTTCCTCCTTCCTTCCCTCCTTCCTTTCTTCCCTCCCTTCCTCCCTCCTTCCTTCCTTCCCTCTTTCCTTCCTTCCCTCCCCCTCCCTCCCTCCTTCCTTCCTTCCCTCTTTCCTTCCTTCCCTCCCCCTCCCTCCCTCCCTCCCTCCCTCCCTCCCTCCCTCCCTCCCTCCCTCCCTCTCTTCCTTCCTTCTTTCCTGTTTTTACCCAGGCTGGAGAGCAGTCACTGTACCCTCAAAGTCTGGGGCTTAAGGGATCCTCCTGCCTCAGCTTCCTGAGTGGCTAGGACTACAGGCCAGCAGCTGATTTTAAAAATTTTTTTGTAGAGACAAGGTCTTGCTATGCTGCCCAGGCTGGTTTTCCTGCCATTTTAGAGGAAGGAATCAGGTTTCCTTTTTTTCCTACTTTTAAGAGTTTTTATTAGGAATTATCTGTTGAATTTTATCTAAAACAGTCAATAAAATATATTAAGTGCCAGCTGCATGTAAGACCCTAAGTTAGATACAGTCAGCCCTCTGTATCAGCAGGTCCACATCTTCAGACTCAACTAGATGAGGCTGAATATTTGAAAAAAAAAAAACAGCAAAATACAAATAGAAATTACAGCAGAACAACTGTCACCATTGTACAATATCTATACATTTTATTAGTGATGACTTAAAGTACATGGGGCCAGGCATGATAGTTCACACTTGTAATCCCAACACTTTGGGAAGCCAAGGTGGGAGGATCACTTGACCAGCCTGGGCAACATAGCGATACGTGGTCTTTACTAAAAATAAAGAATAGCCAGGTATCGTGGTGTGCACCTGTAGTCCCAGCTACTCAAGAGACTAAGTTAGGCAGATCACTGGAGCCCAGGAGGCTGAGGCTGCAGCGAGCTGTGATTGTGCCACTGCACTCCAGTCTGAACAACACAGGGTGATCCTGTCTCTAAATGAATAAAGTATATGGGGGATGTGTGTTGGTTATATGCAAATACTGCATCATTATATATAAGGGATTGAGTATCCACAGATTCTGGTATGGTGTGGGGGCAGTATCCTAAAACCAATCCCCTACAAGATATCAAGGATGAGTGTACTGTGGAAGAATCAAAGCACTGTAAACAGCATACAATTCCTGTCTCCAAAAAGTTCTGTCCTCAGGTGGATGAGTCTTATAATGAATAAAAGAAATAAATACAGATTTGGAGATAGTGGTGGTTGTGATGGGTAATCTTAGTTGTGTTTTCTTCCAAAGCAGATATACCGTCATAGAAGGGCACCAAAGGACGGTGAAGAAGCATTCCGAAGGTAAATATTAGTCTGGTGATTTTTTTTTTTTTTTAATCCTGCCTCAGCCTCCTGAGTAGCTGGGATTACAGGCACATACCACCATGCCCAGCTAATTTTTTGTATCTTTAGTAGAGTCAGGGTTTCACCATGTTGGCCTGGCTGGTCTCAAACTCCTGACCTCGTGATCCACCCGCCTCAGCCTCTCAAAGTGCTCGGATTACAGGTGTGAGACACCGCACCCAGCCAATCCAGCAATTTTTAAATTATAATTTAAGAAATAGAGGAAAGCTTAGAACTCTGTCCTCATTTTTTAGGGAGGAAACTACCCAAGACAGGAAGAATACTTACTTACCGTAATGCTTAGCCTGATTCCCCTGAAATTAGCTCCCCAGCCAAAGCTGAGCTGGATGGAACTAACAAGGACACATCTGATGTCCCCAGCCCTTTGGGGAGGTGGGAAGGGACAGGAAGGGGAAAGGTTTTGGTGCCTGTTCCTGCTGGTGGTGGCAGGCTAGGGATCTTCTTGGAGGCTCTGGGGTAGGGGCAGGGAAGGCCACCTGGTGTTGGAGTGAGGGTGCTAGTCTCCATCAAGGCTGATGGAAGGAAGAATATGTGAGTCCTTCCTCTAAAGTGGCAGGAAACACTACTTTCTCTTTTTTCTTTTTTTCCTTTCTTTTTTCCCTGGATCCACAAACTGGGGAAACACTACTTTTTCATCTTACTGGTCTTTGGGTTCTCACTGTATTCCTTTTATACAAACCTCACAGAATTTTAACTAGGAAGGCCAAGCCAGGTGGCTCACACCTATAATCCCAGCACTTTGGGAGGCCGAGGCAGGTGGATCAATTAAGGTCGGGAGTTGGAGACTAACCTCACCAACATGATGAAACCCCATCTCTAATAAAAATACAAAATTAGCCAGGCATGCTGTCACACAGCTATAATCCCAGCTACCTGGGAGGCTGAGGCAGGAGAACCGCTTGAACCCAGAAGGTGGAGGTTGCAGTGAGCCAAGGTCACACCACTTGCACTCCAGCCTAGGCAAAAAGAGTGAAACTGGTCTCAAAAAAAAAAAAAAAGGAAGAAATAGGAGAGAATTTAGACAGTAGTTTGTCCTTTGTGATAGGAAACCTGAGGACGAGAAAGGGAGAGTGTCTTGCCCCATGGTCCACAATGCACTCTGGTTTTTCTATTTTATTCACATTCAAAAGAATATGTTGTCCTTTAAGCTGATGTCACAGCTCACTCACTCACCAGCGACAGCCTGCTGTATGAAGATCTATGAGATAGACAACTTGGCTAGTTGTACTCAGGCACTTGCTTGAGGTGATTCAACTTATAGAATAAAGCAAATACAGCATCTAGAAAAAAAAAGCGACCTCATCCTCCACCCCCCATCAAATGATGCCTTGAGACCAAGTCCGAAGGGGACTGATGTAAAATGCTTCTGCCTAGCATGGTTGTGCCATTTGTTCACTGTACAAGGGCGCTTGGGACTGAACATCCTCCCCGTGCTCCATGCTGAGCCACACACAAAGTCCCTCCAGCTATATTGTGGGGCCCTTCTGGACAGACGGGGAGAGCTTCTAAAAGTCCCACCTGCATGGAATAATTTTCAAGACCCCAGGTATGTGGTTTGCAGTGGTTTTGCTCCTTGTGATTTTGGACTGAGGTACTCATTTAGTCCTAATTAAGACCAGAGAAGTACAATGTGAGAGACGTGGGAAACAGCAGCATCACTCACTGTCTTGTGCCTGTGTCTCCCCAGGGGCATTTCCAGAGGTCTGCCACACAGGACATCCTCATCCCAAAGTGTGACTCAGGTACATTGGAGCAGGATTCATTGCTGTGGCCAGAGAAAGCAGAAGACATGCAAAATTAATATTTCCCTTTCTATCTTCTAGAGTGGCTTTTTCTTAAGATGGCCACTCTGGCTTAGGGATATGTACAGACGTCTCAGTGCCACACGCGTGAAAAACATGACATGGCACGGAAGCTGCACGACAAGAAGTCTGCCAGTGAGGACGAGACCTTCAACAGGTACACTTGGTAAATGATGGGCCCTCACAGTTCCCATCTAAAATGAGGAGGGGGTAAATGATGGGCCCTCACAGTTCCCATCTAAAATGAGGAGGGGGTAAATGATGGGCCCTCACAGTTCCCATCTAAAATGAGGAGGGGGTAAATGATGGGCCCTCACAGTTCCCATCTAAAATGAAGAGGGGGGTAAATGATGGGCCCTCACAGTTCCCATCTAAAATGAGGAGGGGACGAGAAGCTTAATTGCTCCTTTCAAGAATTAAAACCTTGCCATTGTTATTCTTATCCCAGGGACAGCAAAGCCCCAGCAGAAACTCCATCAGAGAACACCCCAACCGGAGAGTCCACTGCTGAGGGGGAGGACAGTGAGGCCCTGCTGTAGGAAGACAACACAGAGTAACCCCAGCCTACCTCAGGCCTTCTGACAAATAAATACTTGCTTTTCTTACAATATATAGTTTAGACATTTGAATGTGTAGTTAAATATTTATGCAGAAATAACAAGGGCCATCAGAAAGAAAAACAGTACTGAAGCCAGTGGCCCATGCATCCACCAGAGGCAGGAGGCAGGGGAAGCACAGGCCATCTTGCCCTCCCTTGTTTCCCAGTCTAATTAGTCACCCAGACCTGAAAACATACCCTTAGGTAGTGGAGATTTTTCAATTAAATACTGTTGTTCTTGGTGCCCTCTCCCCTGGTTCATCAAGCACCAGTCATATAATACAACATGCTTGACCTCCTGCCTACAGGGGACCTCCCCCACCTCCCGGCCCCTCTCATAGGATCACTGGGCCTACCTGCACTGTGGGGCCAAGCCCTGTCTTTTTCCCAAGCCCTCAAACCCATGCATGCATGTTCGTCCAGATGTGGGAGGGGGCTTTTCACCTTTATAAGATGGTGGAAAATTCACATTGTTTTTTGGTTTTGTTGTTGTTTTTCTTTTTAAAAATCCCAAGCCTTGGATAGCAGAGAGATGCTAGAGGCGTAGGGTCAAGAAGAGTGTGTGAGAGCAGTAATTTCCCAAACTGCCCTCTGCAAGACTATATTTCAGAAAACATGCTGGTGCAGCTACGTCTCCATTCACATGTACTCCCCTAGCCTCTCCCAATCCCTCACTGATGCACATCCATAGCTGCACTGTTCCATACCAGCAGTAGAATTCTGCAGAAGGCGCAAGGATTCCTCCACTCCATCTTCAAAGAAAAAGTCACTAATAAGTCCCATTTGGTAAGTTAGTGAACGTTAAACACATTAGTAGCAAAAGAAAATCTGAATGAACAAGAATTGGTAATCTACCTAACAGAACACAAGTGAATGCTGGCAGTTCAGTAATAGGAGGTAAAGAATGGTGCCGACTGCAGAACAGCAGTATGACTGCTCCCAGGAGCAGTATGACTGAGAAGCAGCCCCGCGTGCGTGCTGGTGGGGGTTCTAAGCAAAGCTAGTCGCCCATCAGTTCCAATGAGTTTGCTGAAGCCGGACAAAAGACACCTGTTCTCGGGCCAGGTGCGGTGGCTCATGCCTGTAATCCCAGCACTTTGGGAGGCTGAGGTGGGTGGACCACCTGAGGTCCGGAATTCAAGACCAGCCTGGCCAACATGGCGAAACCCCATCTCTACTAAAAAATCAAAAAATTAGCTGGGGTGGTGATGCGTGCCTGTAATCCCAGCTACTCAGGAGGCTCAGGCAGGGAGAATTGCTTGAACCCAGGAGGCAGAGGTTGCAGTGAGCCGAGATCACACCAGTGCACACCAGCATGGGACAGAGCAAGACTCCATCTCAAAGAAAAAGCCAAGACTAGAGATCCTTACACTGCTAGGCTCCCAAAGTCTGGATTCCAATCATCTCCAGGTTCCTATTTTGGCATATTTATATAATTTTTATGCTTAATTTTTAAATATATTTTATGTATCTCAAATGTGTACATGTTTTTTGGAGACAGGGTCTTGATTTGTCACCCAGGCTGGAGTGCAGTGGTACATTCATAGCTCACTGTAGCCTCAAGCTCTTGGGCTCAAAAGATCCTCCTGCTTCAGCCTCCAGAGTAGCTGGGAGCTACAGGCATGCACCACCATACCCAGCTACAAATCTTATTATTCCCAAATGCTACCCCACCATATTTCTAAAAACTCCCAAGAGTAATATTCTACTTTGCCCAGTTTGTCCTCAACTGAGCAGTTTTGGCTGAGCCCAGAGTTTCTGCTGGGCCAGCCTGTGGATGAGCTGTGTCTCCCAGGCTGGTATCCATCCCTGCCTGTCGCTTGGGAGAGGGAGGGGCGCCCAGGGTCAGGTGGAACAAAGCGTGACTGCCTAGGACTGCCCCTGTCTCCATCTCACTGACGGCAAACCACGGCTCAGAGGGCCAGCTCTTAAGTGAGACCTGAGTGCCAGAGAGAGGTGGACGCAAGGCCAACAGCTACCAAATGAATGAAAATTCTGATTCCAATCAAACCTGCCAGAGAAATAAAGCATTTGGAAAAAGATAGCGAAATAAGGTGATGTCTGATTAGGGTAAACACGATGCAGACAAGAAATGCAGCAGTTCAGAGGAGGGAAGGTCAGGCCGCCTGGGAAGAGTCCTTGAAAAAGACAGAATGTGCCAGATGCTGTGCCTGGTGCTGGGAAAGAGTTGACTAGGACAGCATTCCTCTCAAAGGGCTCCTAGACTGGGGGGGAGGAACGGACATCTGAATACATCCTGAGTAGACAGCATGGGACGGCATAGTGGCAGTGGAGCCAGGTGTGGTTCTGCTCTCGGTCAGCTGGAAAGGAGTAGATGTAAGAGTCAGCTTAGAAGAAGGGAAGTGGAAGACAAGTTTTCTGAGCTGACAGGAGGAAGGAGAGGCCTTCTAGACAGGACACTACAAAGGCAGAGAACCCCTAAGCAGAGTGAGCATCAACCTCCACAGGTTAAGGGCTCAGTCACACAGGACCACCCCCACATCAGATCCCAGTTGCAAGGCCAGGCATCACCTATGCATCTGACCCACTGGCTATAAATTGGAGGTCCCCACAACTCCCTCCTCAGGTTTGACCATTTGCTAGAGCAGCTCACAGAACCCAGGAAAACAGTTTATCTACTATTACTGATTTATTACCAAGGATACATTAAAGGATACAAATGAACAGCCAGGTGAATAACACAGGGTGAGGTCTGGAAGGGTCCTTGTGGAGTTGGGGTGTACCCCCCTCCTGGCCCTTTACCCACTTTTGTTTGGGTGTCCGAGGCTTTGCAAAAGAATAAGGTGGGAGTCCACGGTGGAGTCACATGGTGAAGACCTAGTTAAGTCAGAGGCCTGGAGAGGTGTCATTCTAACTGGGCAGCAGCTGACACACAACCATCCTCTGAGTTGATTGAAGAAGCACTTGGGATTGACCCAAAGTTCGTTCTGGAATGTTCTCACTGGAATGAAAGCTGAGTGGTCTGCAGGCCATATAGTATACTTGAAGAAAACAGCCATCATTGAAAAAGGCTGCCAGAGTAAAGGTGTTTACAGGGAAATTTAGTTTTGTTTTTTTTTTCTTGAGATGGAGTTTCACTCTTATTGCCCAGTCTGGGTGTGATGGCACGATCTTGGCTCACTGCATCCTCTGCCTCCTGGGTTCAAGCAATTCTCCTCCTCAGCCTCCCCAGTCTGGGATTATAGGCATGCGCCACCACCCCAGCTAATTTTTGTATTTTTAGTAGAAATGGGGTTTCACCATATTGCTCAGGCTGGTCTGGAACTCCCGACCTCAGGTGATCCACCTGCCCAGCCTGTTTTGGGTTTGTGTGTGTGTGTGTGTGTGTGTGTGTGGAGACAGTCTCACTCTGCCACCCAGCCTGGAGTGCAGTAGCGTGATCTTGGCTCACTGCAACCTCTGCCTCCCAGGTTCAAGGGATTCTCCTGCCTCAGCCTCTTGAATAGTTAGGATTACAGGCACCCACCACCACACCCGAATAATTTTTGTATTTTTTTTTTTTGTAAAAACAGAGTTTCACCATGCTGGCCGAGCTGGTCTTGAACTCCTCACCTCAAGTGATCCACCCACCTTGGCCTCCCAAAGTGCTGGGATTAGAGGCGTGAGGCACTGTACCCCACCAGGAAATTCAGTTTCTAAAACTACACCTGTGGATCTCTAGCCGTGAATATCCTTGGAGGCTGCTTTAAATGGCTGATCTTCAATGCTTCCCTTCTAACTCACATGCCTGCTCTCCTATCAATCTCCCAGAAAAGGGGACCTCTTTTATTCCTTTAGTTAATTTTTTTTTAAGATGGGCCTCACTTTTTTCCCCAGGCTGGTTTTGAACTCCCGGTCTCAAGTGATCCTCCCACCTTGGTCTCCTGAGGGATCTGTGGGGATCGCTCCCGCGTGAGGCCCCTGGGAAATGGGCCTCGCCATACGGTGAGCTTGAGCCTGGACACAGATCCCTGGTTGGGGGAGTCGAGCTGAGGGAGAGTAGGAACCGAGAGAGGAACTATATGTTATCCAAAATAATTAATAGATATTACTTTATGGATATGAGGACTTGGGAGGCATTGTGTCTACTTTCAGCTTCTTATGGTTTATTGTCTCATTGTGTTCATTTTGGACCCTTGTTACCTTCATTGTAAAATATTAACTTAAGTATTTACACTTGGTAACTTACTTACCGTAACTTACTGGGTGTAACTGTAACTTACTTACCATAGCTTACAGGGCGTAACTGTAACTTACTTACCATAGCTTACAGGGCGTGACTGTAACTTACTTACCTTGACCTATTGGGCGTAATCTACTTACTGGACTAGCCTGGACTAGCCTACTTACTGGGCTTAACTTACTGGGCATAACTTGCTTACTGTAACTTAAGTATGTTGATCTGGCATAAACAACTTTAACTTCAGAAAAGTATATAATGAAACACAGTGCAAAAATAAAATTGCTGCATGAGCGAAGCCCATGTAGCCCTCCAGACCTCGCCTTTTCTATCTCCTTTTTTTCCGGCGCGCACTCTCTTCCAGGTTTGGGACCCTCTCGCTGGACGAGATTCCCGGGCTCGCGTTCAGGTCACAACAGTCTCCCAAAGTACTGGGATTACAGACGGGAGCCCCGTGCCCAGCAAAGCCTCTATTAAGCCCTTGTGTGCTCACTCTGCGGTACTGCAGAGAGAGCGGGAAGGGAGCAGAGGTGCGCTGGCGTCTTCAGCTGGAAGCGACCAGGGGGCTGAGGGTGGAAGAGGCCGGGCGCCTGGGGACGGGAGGAAGGACCGCATCTTCACAGGGACGCCACCCCGACCCTGGAGGTCAGAACCTCTCGCCTAGCTCTGGCTCTGAGGTCCTGGAGGAAAGAGATGCTCTTGCGACTCAGAAGATCGGGAGAGGGCCACCCCCACTTGAGAAGAGTGAAAATCCCGAGCCTGAAGCAGAAGCGGAACTGGTTGGAGCCAAGGCTTTAGAGGTGGCGCTGGGAAGAGGGTCTGGCGCCGCCCTGTGGACCGTTTGGGGCTCGCCAGGCTGAAGGCTCCTAAAACCACAACCTGCGAACCAGAGTGAGGTTCCACGCGGATGGGCCTCAGCCCCGGCTGGAGCCCCCACACTGGCCCTGGACTTCTCCACCGCCTTACGGCAGGAGAGCTCAATAAGCTCCTTATTTAACGCACTGTTGTATCAGGTCCCTGTCGCAGCCGCTGGCCCTATAGCCTAATGAAGGAGCGGGTGCATGCACTGAGCTTCTGCCACAGCAACGCGTCCTAATCCACCGTCCAGAACGGCGGCTAGAATAAGGTTCTCGCAGTCCTGGGCTTCGGCTTGAACGCTGGGCCGGCTGCTGCGCTCTGCGGCTCCCTGCAGGCCTGCGGATTGGCCAGGGGCCGTTCCTTCTGGGCCGCGGCTGAGGAAGCAGCGGCTGCACCAGAGAAGGGCTTCTGGGTGAAGGGGGAAGCGCACGGGGGCGGCGGAACCGCCTGAGGCGTCTTCAGGCCGCGGGCTCGGAACCGGCAGGCTTTCGTTTCTGCTTCATTCCATGGCCAAAGCAAGCCACGTGGGCAAGCCCCAAGCCAGGGGGCAGAAAGTACCCTCCACCCACCACAAAACCATGCAAGCGGTGGGTGCAGGGAGGGCTGAGGAATTAGGACCAATGGTTCTATCTATCCCGGTGAGTGAGGAGCCCTGCTTTGGGGGTTGCATAGCCTGAGTCTGCTCTTGCAGTGGTGTCTGTCACTATGAAGACTCCACCCCGGGTCGCCATCAGGTCAGGAACCCTGACAAGGCAAGAATCGCAACCTCCTCTGCACACAGCCCTGCTCCCTTCCCCCGCCCCATGCCTAACACCAAGCCTGGCCCTCAGAGATGACTCAGGAATATGAATAAGAGCATTTTAGGCCGTGCCTTCATTATCCGCATGTGACTCGTTATGAAATACAGACTGACTTCCTAAAGATCAGCACATAGCGCCAAGTATTTGCCCTATAAGCTGTAAAGAGACTGCCATTTGGAGCTGGGATCTGTCCCCAGATCTGTCAGACACCAAATCCCATATCTACTGCCACCCAAAGGGACCTCCAGAAGACAGGGGTTATAAAGTTGGAAAGAGTCTCACCACCTGAAATAACCTCAGAGGAAGTCTGTCTAGGGCACAAACCTAGTCAGGGATCCACACAGACGTGAGGACAATTTTTTTTTTTTTTGAGACAGTCTCATTCTGTCATCCAAGCTGGAGCACAGTGGTGTGAGCTCAGCTCACTGCAAACCTCAACCTTCTGGGCTCAGGTGATTCTCCCACCTCAGCCTCCCAAGTAGCTGGGACCATAGGCATGTGCCACCGTGCCTGATTAATTTTCTTTTAAATTTCTTATAGAGATGAGGTCTCCCTGAGTTGCTCAGTCTAATCTTGAACTCCCAGACTCAGACAATCCTTCTGCCTCTGCTCCTCAAAGTCCTGGGACTACAGGTGTGAGCCAATGCACCTGGCCTCTTAAGAACAATTTTAAAAACAGTAAGGTTCACCGTCACAGCCTCTGCTGCTCTACAAAGCCCCTTGGCCCCTCTTATCAGGGCAAAAGCAAGATCGGCCCTAGATGTTCTGCTTAATGGTCACCTTTCCCAGGAGACTTTGCTCTTTAAAGGAGAACCACTTAGAGCTATGATGAACCCTAAAGAACGCCACTGGCTCTATTGAATGCCAGGCATGGGTCATGTGGCTTGGAGTATATTTTAGGGCAGTTACTCATGGTAAGTTATTTCCACCAGCCCCAAAAATTGACTATTCAATGTGCAGCTATCTCGGGCCCAGGCTGATAAAAGTGGAGGCGTGAGGAGCCTTGGGTTGTTTTGATGTGCCTTGGTCATGGTATATGTGGAAGATTTTAGAGCTTGTTGTAAAAAGTGATGACCCATGGCTCTCCGGCCTGGGTCTGGGATTGCTAATAGCTATCACGATTTCATATTTAATATTTTTTCACAGATTAGAGTTTCTTAGCTCCTGTTGCTATCTCTCTGCTCTCATGAGCTCGCATAAGAGCACATGAGAGCAGAGATAGTAAGTAGCAGGAGCACATTAAAGGAAAAACTCCTGGGCAACGTGGCAAAACCCTGGCTCTACAACAAGTCAGCCAGGAAGGGGGGCATGTGCCTGTGGTCCCAGCTACTGGGGAGGCTGAGGTGGGAGAATCGCTTGAGCCTGGAAGGCGGTAACTCAATCCAAGCAGAATCCCAGGTGGCTCATCCCAAAAGTAAAAGAAGAAGGAAATTCTATTGCCAGAAGACAAGGGGATGAAATGAGGGATGAAGAATCAAAGACTGAAGGTACTAGAGTTCCTTTTTATTTTATTTTTATTAATATTTAATTTTTTCAGAGGTGGAGGGTCTCACTATGTTGCCCAGGCTGGTCTTGAACTCCTGGCCTCAAGCTATCCTCCTGCCTGATGAGCCTTCTGAGTTGTTGACAGAGTCTTGCTGTGCCACCCAGGCTGGAGTGCAGTGGTACAGCCTCGGCCCACTGCAGCCTTGAACTCCTGGCTTCCAGATATCCTCCCACCCCAGCGCCAACGCCTACCGCCTTCCAGTAGCTAGACTACAGGCGCATTTGACCACACCTGGCTAACTTCTGAATTTTTTGTAGAGATGGGGTTTCACCATGTTGCCCAAGCTGGTCTCCAATGCTACTAAGGGATCTGCCTGTCTTGGCCTCCCAAAGTGTGAGCCACCACTCCCACCCATTTAAGATTGAAGCTAGGCCAGTGGTCGTGGCTCGTGCCTGTAATCCCAGCACCTTGGGAGGCCAAGGCTTGTGGATCATCTGAGGTCAGGAGTTTGAGACCAGCCTGGCCAACATGGCAAAACCTCGTCTCTGATAAAAATACCGAAATTAGCTGGGCGTGGTGGCACATGCCTGAAATCCCAGGTACTCAGGAGGCTGAGGAAGGAGAATCACTTGAACCCAGGAGGTGGAGGTTGCAGTGAGCCAAGATCGCTCCACTGCATTCCAGTCTGTGTGACGGGAGTGAGACTCCATCTCAAAAAAAAAAAATATTGAGGCTGAATTGGGCAAACTCTTAAGCCAAAACCAGTAAGTTTTTGCAAGTTCATAGATGTTACTCTGGTAAATAACACACAAATTCATTTAAAAGCAGGTGTGTCCTCATGGTAATTCTTGGTTCTTATGGGCTTTTTTTTTTTTTCCTGTTAATGGATATTAAAGATATACCTACTTTTTTTTTTTTTTTTTTTTTTTGGAGACAGGGTCTCACTTGGTCACCCAGGCTGGAGTGCAGTGATATGGTTATGGTTCACTACAACCTCCACCTCCTGGGTTCGAGTGATTCTCTTGCCTAAGCCTCGTGAGTAGCTGGAATTACAGGTTTGAGCAACCACACCTGGCTAATTCTTTTATTTTTTGTAGAGACAGTTTCACCATGTTGCCCAGGCTGGTCTTGAACTCCTGAGCTCAGGTGATCCACCAGCCTTGGCCTTCAAAAGTGCTGGGATTACAAGCATGAGCCACCTTGCCCGGCCTAAAGATACAACTTCTATCATGAGGATTTCCAAAAACCATTCTCTTTTTCTTTTTTTAATGTTAAAAAGGGATTCTTTATGTGCTGCATGCAGCAAAGGGAGGGGAAATTAAGCAAGAAGAGAAGGGAGCCAAGAAATAAAGGCCCCAACCCAGGAAGCAGTTAAGCAAAGTTCCGGGATGACCACATGTGACAGGCTTAGGGGATAATTTGAGCACATGGAGGACAGAACTTGGAGAGGGCACTGTGGGCATGAGCCCCCCCGCTCTGCCAGAGCACTGGCAGAGAGCAAGGGCGTGATAATGGCAGATGGCACTGAAAGAAAAGGAGAGAGCATGAGGCACCCTTGGTGGAAGCAGTCATCATCAGAGTATTTTATTTTATATTTATTCTTTCTTTTTTTTTGAGACGGACTCTTACTCTGTTGCCCAGGCTGGAGTGCAGTGGCACCATCTCTGCTCACTGCAACCTCTGCCTCCCAGGATTAAGTCATGATCTGCCTCAGCCTCCTGAGTAGCTGGGATTATAGGCGAGCACCACCATGCCCAGCTAAATTTTGTATCTTTGATAGAAATAGGGTTTCACCACGTTGGCCAGGCTAGTTTCGAACTCCTGGCCCAGCTAATTTTGTATTTTTGTAGAAACAGCTCTGGCCATGTTGGCCAGGCTGGCCTTGAACTCCTGATGGCAAGCAATCCACCCACCTTGGCCTCCCAAACTTCTGGAATTACAGGCATGAGCCACTGTGTCTGGCCAGGATATCATCATATTTAATCTTCACATCAACTGACATTATCTCCAATTTACAGATGAGGAACTAAGGCTCAGAGAGTTTCTAGTACTTGCCTGAGGTCACACACTCTGGGCTCTCTGCTTGGGGCTGAGGCCCAAGGGACATTGTGACTTACTTCTCTTTCCTGAACATCAATAAAATTCAATTTAGAAATTTCTGTCTTCAGTGCTATCTTGAGGGGCCTGGGGGAAATGCTGACTGTGTGGCAGCTGTCTTAGCCCATACTCATTGGATTGCCCTGGGCCCCACACTGTTTTAAGGAAGGTCCAGCAAATAACATAGGGTAGAGCTGAGATTCAAATCTAAGCAGCCCTGGCTCTAAAACCCACTGAACAAAGCTGCCTCTCCAACTCGAATCAGAGAGAACTAGGTGAGAATCCTACCTCTAGCACTTACTAGTTGGCTGTGACCACCCCCAAGTTACTTAACCTCTTTTAAGCCTATTTTCTCATCCGTACAATGGGGATAATGGCAGCACCCACCTTTCCGGTGGTTGGTAAGGAATATAAGGTGAACACAGGTGCCTATGTGGGTTCTTCCATTTTCCATAAATGTTAATTCCCTTACCCCTCATCTCCTAGGTTAGTCCAGGAGGACAGACTTGAAGGTTAAAACAGAAAGTAACTGCCAAAAGGGATTATTTAGGGCAGAGATTCCCACTTTTTATTGTGCTTTAGGTCCATCAGTGGTGAGGGCAGGGACAGGAGAGGTGGGGTCAAGTCCAAATTGTTGGACTCCATCCTAGAGTGACTCTTTTGGGTTAGTGTGAGGCTTAGGAATCTGCATTTTGGGCCCGTCCCCAGGGCATTCTGATGCCTGCAGTTCTCCTGTCTGGCTTTGAATAACTCTGGGTAGTACTTTAAATCTAAGCTGACAGGCCAGTGGGGTGTGAACTGTCCTTGCAAACGTTTTGAGCCCTTCCTGCGCTGACCTCCAACTATGCCTTCACAGTTTGTCTTCAGCCCCCCTTCCATTCTGGCCCTCTCCCCTTACCCTTTCCTTTCCTTTTTTTTTTTTTTTTTTTTTTTTTAAGACGGGGTCTTGCTCTGTCTCTTAGGCTGTAGTGCAAAGGCGCAATCTCGGCTCACTGAAACTTCCACCTTCTGGATTCAAGCAATTCTCCTGCCTCAGCTTCCAAAGTAGCTGGGATTACAGGCGCCCATCACTACACCCGAATAATTTTTGTCTTTTTAGTAGAGATGGGGTTTTACCATGTTAGGCTGGTCTCGAACTCCTCACCTCAGGTGATCCACCCACCTTGGCCTCCCAAAGTGCTGGGATTACAGGCATGAGTCACTGCGCCTGGCCACCCTTTCCTTTTTCCCCTTCTTTTTTACTCCTCATTTTTTTTTTT